ATTTTCTCTAGTAGTTTTCCAAGTGCCTTGAGATGTTTTCTGTTGTGATTCAGTGCTATATTGACCTAATAGATAATATATATTTATTTTTGTTTGGTTTTATTGCTTTTAGTACCTTTGTGTAAAAAGAAGCAGGCTGTCACACCCTGTCCTGTCTTCTCCTAGGTTGTAGTCTGTGTCTCCGTTAATTGCTCCCACCTGCCTCTTGTTTCCCAATCACCATAGCTCCCGTTCCTCAGGTATTTAAACCCCTTCTGTTCTGTGTTCCTTGTGGTGTCATTGTTCCAGTGTCAGCGTGCGTCCTAATAAACCTGTGGAATTAATCCTACCTGTCTGCCTGCTTCCTCCCCGGTCTGGATCCTCGCCTTAGCTCCGCTTCACTCCGCGCACGTCGTGACAGAATGACACCACCCCTCAGTAGTGGATCCAACGGGGAGATTCTCCCGTGGAGTTTCCTTCTCCAGTGGCTCACGTCCGACCACCGGCTAGCTTCTCCGTCTCCTTGTGCTCCAGATCCGCCCCGCCGCAGACGGCAGCACCGACCGGCACCCTCGGCTATCCTCGCCGCCCTCCCAGAACCGGATGGGAGTTTGGACCGGTAGACGCTCCCGGATCGCTCCAGCTATGTGGGCACGAGGCTGGCTATCTGCTCCCCCGGAGTCGGTCCACGGCGTAGGGAAAAACGCCGGACTCCACCACCATCCGGGGTCTCCAGGCGGAGCTGTGAGCCCGCTTCTGCTCCTGCCCGGCGCGGCTGTTCGGACACGCCCACGGCCAGACCACCAGTCCCGTCTCCTGCCGAACCGGCGCCTCCGTCATCTGTAGAGGAAGGAGCAGCAATCGAAGCCCGGCTGATAGAGCAACGGGAGGAGCTCGGCCGGTTCCGCGAGCTTATCAGCTGCCAGGAGTCTCACCTGGATGCTCTATACTCCTCGTCTCAGGGCCAGGGGAGCGAGCGCGGGGTTCACCCAGCGGAACTCGCCGGTCAGCGGGCTGAGCTGGCCCAGCTCCGTCGGACGCTCAGCCTCAGGGAGCTAGAGCTGGACGAGCTGACCTCCCGCCTCTCCTCATCGCTCCAAGTTCTCCTAACAGCGGCTCTGCCAGTGGCCCAGAAGCCGATGGAGCGGGCCCAGAGGCAGAGGGTACCGACCCGGAAGCAGACAGTACCGGATCCGGTCCAAAACTCGGCGGTCCAGAAGTCGAGGGACCAGAAGCCGACACCTCCGGGCCAGCCGCAGACGGTTCCGGTTCCGGTCCAGAGGTCGACGGTCCGAAAACCGAAGGACCAGAAGTCGACGCCCCCAGACCAGAAGTCGATGGAAGTCGACGCCCGTTCCTGTTCTGAAGTCGACGCCCGTTCCTGTTCTGAAGTCGACGCCCGTTCCGGTTCTGAAGTTGACGCCCGTTCCTATTCTGAAGTCGACGCCCATTCCTGTTCTGAAGTCGACGCCCGTTCCTGTTCTGAAGTCGTCTCCTCTGAAGACGACGTGTCCGAAGTCATCTCCTCTGAAGACGACGTGTCCGAAGTCGTCTCCTCTGACGTGTCCGAAGTCGTCTCCTCTGATGACGTGTCCGAAGTCGTCTCCTCTGATGACGTCTCCGAAGTCGTCTCCTCTGATGACGTCTCCGAAGTCGTCTCCTCTGATGACGTCTCCGAAGTCGTCTCCTCTGATGACGTCTCCGAAGTCGTCTCCTCTGATGACGTCTCTGAAGTCGTCTCCTCTGATGACGGCTCATCTGATGACGTCGCCGCCACCTCTGAAGTCGGCTCGTCTGATGACGTGTCCGAAGTCGTCTCCTCTGATGACGTCTCCGAAGTCGTCTCCTCTGATGACGTCTCCGAAGTCGTCTCCTCTGATGACGTCTCCAAAGTCGTCTCCTCTGATGACGTCTCCGAAGTCGTCTCCTCTGATGACGTCTCCAAAGTCGTCTCCTCTGATGACGTCTCCGAAGTCGTCTCCTCTGATGACGTCTCCGAAGTCGTCTCCTCTGATGACGTCTCTGAAGTCGTCTCCTCTGATGACGGCTCATCTGAAGACGTCGCCGCCACCTCTGAAGTCGGCTCGTCTGATGACGTCGCCGCCACCATTCCCATTCAGGAAGTTGTGTGTTGGTCAAATTCCACCACTGTCCTTCACTGGCTGCGTTCTGAGTCCTGTCGCTAAATGGTGTTCGTGGGGACACGTGTCGCAGAAATTCAGACCCTCACCGATGCTTCCAGCTGGAGATATGTGGAGTCTTCAAGGAACCCTGCAGATCACATCACCAGGTGCCTAACCGTATCAGAGTTAATATGTCATAACCAATGGAGATTTGGTTCTGACTTTCTGTCCCAAAATCAAGATCATTGGCCAGTTGTACCTAGTACCATGGTCGATGATGATCAAACTGAGTTGAAGAGGAGTACCTTTGCTGGACTCATAACTTCGAGCCCTCAGGTACCTGAGGCTGGCCAGTCCCAAACCTGGTCCGAGCTGGTCCGAGCCACTGTTCAATCTCGTCACGAGGCGGCTGCTCCCAACAATCAGATTGAAGCAGCAGATTACATTGCGGCAGAAAGAGCCCTTCTGATCGAGGCCCAAGCTGACTCTTTCTCTGCAGAAATAAAGGCTCTCAAGGCTCAGCAGCTAGTTCCTACTAATAGTAGACTCAGTCCTGTTGCACCAGAGTTTGAAGAGGATACTGGTCTCATCTGAATCGGTGGTCGGCTCCGCCGTGCAGAAAGTCTCGAGACTGCCACAATACACCATATTGTCCTGGACCCTGGACATCCAGTGACTAAGATGCTCATCAAAGACTATGATGAGATGCTCCACCATCCAGGTGCAGAACGAGTCCTAGCCGAGCTGAGACGTCATTACTGGGTGCTAAAAGGACGCGAAGCAATTCGTAATTACCAATATAACTGTCCCGAATGCTGACTTTCGCGCGCCAAGCCTCAGAAACCTAGAATGGCTGACCTCCCACCTGCAAGGCTACGGCTCTTTAAACCCCCTTTCTATTCAGTCAGAGTCGACTGCTTTGGTCCCTTCCTCGTGAAGGTAGGACGTCGACATGAGAAAAGGTGGGGGATTTTATTCGTGTATGACCACGAGATGTCTGCACTTAGATCTCCTTGAGGGCTTGGATACGGATGCATTTTTGCTATCTTTGCGCCGGTTCATCGCCAGAAGGGGAAAGCCGTTTGAGGTCCTCTGCGACAATGGCACCAACTTCACTGGCGGTTGTCGCAAGCTACAAGAAGCCTTTGAGGCTATGAGTCCTCAGCTGCAGGAGCAGCTAGCTGAACAGAAGACTCGATTCCAGTTCAACCCTCCTGCCGCTCCCCACTTTGGAGGGACTTGGGAGAGAGAAATTAGGTCCATCAAGACATCACTGAGGGCCGTCCTATGAGATCAGGTTGTTCCAGAGCCTGTTCTGCAGACCCTGCTCACCGAGGTGGAAGGCATTCTGAACTCCAAACCTTTGGGTTACATCTCTGCAGACGAGGCAGATCTCGACCCTATAACACCTAAATGTTGCTGATGGGTCGCAGAGATTCGTCCCTACCACAAGCCCTGTACGACAGCGAGGACCTGCTCGGGAGACGTCAGTGGAGGCAGAGCCAGGTGCTGGCCGACAACTTCTGGTCGTCATTCATTCATCAGTACCTTCCAGGCCTGCAAGAACGTCAGAAGTGGAGGATTGACGGAAGGGAGCTTACTGTCGGCCAGGCTGTCCTGGCCCGTGGGTACTGTTTCAGGGGTCTTGCCTGCCGCAGATGGTAGGATCCGTTCAGCTGTAGTGCAGGTAAAGGGGAAACCCTATACTCTTCCTGTCGTCAGACTGATCCCACTTCCTCAACTCTCGGAAGAAAGTGATGGTGCCTCTGACAGTCTTTCTAGGGATGAACAATTCTCTTAAAGACAATTGGGGCGGCTGTGTCCGAAAGACCAAAGCAGAACTAATATTCAGCCGAGCAATGTTTGTTCCGTGCTTCGAGACTGTGCCTTTAATTTATGATGGACATACTTCCGGTTTAATGTTGTATATGTTGTGCATGACGGATATAAAAGTGAGTACTAAAGGTGAATATTTATGTTATATTTATGTTTGCTAGTTTGTTTCATGTTTGTTTGCCCGTCAGTCACAGTTGTTATTCGTTAGCATGTTTATTAGTGTTTAAATGACTGCCATTAGTTGCTAATGCTAAAGCTAGCCCTACGAGTTCCATGCTAAGTTGGTAACGTACCTTCAGTTACACGAGTATCGGTTTACAATTTGTTTAGTTAGCAGTGGGTGTTGGCTATGTCTTTGTTGGATTATTTAACTTACGGAAGTCACTTTGTTTCTTCCTAGAAACCACACATATACATACATGTATCCAACTCCAGATATAAGAGTCTGCTGTTTAATGTCATCGCCAACAAATTCACTGAAAATACCTCTAGTTTGCCTGGTTCTCTGACCAGAAACTCCTGTCCATATTGACTGCCTCAACCAGTCTGTATCCCTTTACTAGTGTAGTGCTACTACACTGGAGGATAAGGATGAGTGTGATAAAAGCATCTGTTGTTGTCATTATGCAAATAGAGCACACACACACCTCTGTCTGGTGCTGTCCTCTAATCTGACGAGAGAGAGAGAGAGAGAGAGAGAGAGAGAGAGAGAGAGAGAGAGAGAGAGAGAGAGAGAGAGAGAGAGAGAGAGAGAGAGAGAGAGAGAGAGAGAGAGAGAGAGAGAGAGAGAGAGAGAGAGAGAGAGAGAGAGAGAGAGAGAGAGAGAGAGAGAGAGAGAGAGAGAGATTCCTGGTGAACCACTTTCTTCTGGTGCATCTCTGCATCAACTAAAACGTATTATTGCTTTCCTTTGTGTTTTATTTAGGGCTGCAACTAACGATTATTTTCATAATCGATTAATCTGTCGATTATTTTTTCGATTAATCGATTAATCGGTTTGTTACTGTTTAGCTATTTAAGTGATGGATGCATTTCAGTTAAGAAAAAAAAAACATAAGAGAATTGTGCAGTTGACTGCAATCTATTTTATTGCACATGAACACAGTCAGCAGTAGAAAATGAGCTAAACAGTGCAAAATATCAGTCCAGAATAATTTTTTAGCATTAGCTGGAAGCCTGCTCCTTCCACCATGGATAGTGGCCTCATGTCTTTTACCAGCATGTTTAGAATAGAGTTTGTAAGTGGTATGAATTGCTGGGGGGTGAGTGTCTTGTTCCCCATGTAGTTGTCCATCGTTGCTTGTTTTTTTCTGCATAAGAAACACAAATAGACTGAAATAAGTACACATATAAAATAAAGCAGCACACACACTACAACACTAAATCAATGTTAAATTATTTGAATTAATTAACAATATACAGTGATCATTTATTTTGAGGGTTACGTTCTACAAAATAGCCCGCAACAGGAGATATTAAGAAAAAAAGTCTAATTTTTTTACAATTAAAAAGCTCAGAGTAAGAAGCTCATGAGGTTTTTACTTTGAGTCGGGAGTGTTTAAATTAGCTAGAGAAATGTGAAAAATGTTTATTTTGTGTAATACTGTTTAAGAAACATGATAAAAATGTGTTGTGAGGCGTTTTACAGCGTTAGACAGTAAAACAGCCTTTTAATAGTAAAAAAATGACTTTTTCTGAATTTCTCCTGTATTTAAAAATTGAAAGCGTACAACTATGCCGCGTTATATTCACCTGGACACAGCTCGTCTGTATATTTTTCACCGCGGAGTTGTCCTTTTTTGAATGAGGAACATAGTTATGGGTTTGTGCCGTTTTTCTCTTAACGAGAACATTCTTACAAACAGACGTGCTAAATTTGGCAAGTGCATGATTCACAACACGGAGGAGATTCACGATTGCATCTAGTCAATCAGTAGTAGAACACCGTAGACTGACGCGACAAAAAAACATGTTTAACATCCACTATAACGAACTCAGCTAAAACACTAAGTCCAGCTTGTTTATTTTCTGTTACTTACCGGGCTGGCTCTTCCAAATGACGGCTCACTTGACCGCGGTGCTCTTCCTCAGCCCCCACGTTTTCGTCTCAAATGTTCACTTAGGGACGTCGTGCTTCCGTGCCATGCTAGATGGTTTTTGCATATTTTGCCTTTTGAAGGCATCTAGACTGAAGTGCTCCCATACTCGTGAGGTTTTTGTCCGGGGTTTCTCTAAAGTTTTGTCGCTTCTATTTTCTTCCGTATTTCCTCTTGTTCCGCCATCTCTCACAGCAAGATGAGCGTCAGTAACGTGATACGTCATGAAAACCGAGGGCACTCATTGGCTCATTTCTTCTTCTACGGCTCCACTGGTAGATCAGTGGCTCATTACTGCCACACACTGGCGGCAAATTTAACAGCTTGTAACCGATGTCAGATTGTGGTAAAAATAGACTTTATGCGGTAAAATATGATTATTAAACAACTAATCGATGACTAAAAAAGTTGTTAACTATTTTAATAATCGATTATAATCGATTAAATCGATTAGTTGTTTCAGCTCTAGTTTTATTTGTTCGTATTTATTCATTTTCCCAATTTGTATCACATATTTTTAAATGTTTTTTCAGTTTTTTTATAACTAACCTTTTATTTAGAATTTTTGCTCTCGTGAAGCTCCTCATGATTTTTATCTTGAGAGGCACTTTATAAAAAATAACTTCTTCACTAGATTTCATCCACTCAAAGTTGTTTTAAAAGGTTTTTAGCAAATCATTGTTTTCCCCCCAAATATGTTTATTGAAATTTTCAAAATTAGAACATAACAAATCACATCACCCCCCCCCCCCCCCCATACACACACACACACACACCACCACACACCTGCAAAATCCCATCCATCCCATCCCCCTCTTCACTCCGCTTCTTCAAAGTCAAAGGCGTCTACAAGATGCAAAAAGGGCAGCCAAATGTCCTTGAAGTCCTTGAGCTTTCCTCTGGCCATTTGCATTAGTTTCTCAAGCGCCAGATTACTGGACTTAAGATTGATCCATTGTTTCACTCCTGGTCTTTCTGTGGCCTTCCATTTCAAGGCAATAGCATATTTTGCCTGTAACAGGGAGAATTCAACCAATTTCTTATTCTTTGCGTTACATATATAACTTTCTGGAAAGATGTGCAGTATACAGAGTTTGCAATCAATGGACATCTTACATTCAATTAAATTTGCTTCCAAAACATTTGAAGTTCTTCACATTGCCACATACAATGATAAAGTGTCCCTTTTTCTTTACCACATTTAATACAATCGTCAGGGATGTTAGGGTTGAAATAATGAAGCTTCACTGGTGTAATATAGGTTCTAAACAGCCATTTGTATTGTAATAATCTAAATCTTGTGTTAATTGTTTGTTTTTGTGCACGTACACAACAATCGTTCCACTCTTCTACTGAAATGTCTGTTTCCAGATCCAATATCCAAGCTTGTAAATATGAGTGACTACTTTCTTTCAATATGAGTGACTACTTTCTTTCATACCAGAGATTAGACTACCATAAAATCTGGAGAGCAGGCCCCTACTTTGATGATGGTTAACTGCTATATTCTCTATAGTAGACAATGTGGGTTGTACAGTCGATCTCAGCGTATTAGTAACGAAACTCCTAATTTGGAGAAAATTTAAAACATGTTTCCCAGGCAGATCATATTTATGTGCTAATTGTTCAAAGCAGTGGCGGCGCCAGGGGGGGCGCTAGGGTGCGCTATAGCTACCCCTGGATTAGTCATTGCACCCCCATAGCACACCCAAGTAAATTAATTTAATTTTAATTTTACGTGTGGATGTGATAATATTTAACATACAAAACAAAAAATAATCAGTAAATTATCATATAGATAGTAAAAACTTAAACCAAAACAGGAAATTGATGTTAACCTTTGACCTCATTTTCCACCTGCAAACGAGTGAAAGGTAGAGCTAGTGGTAAAATGGATCAGTTTTTGTTGCCCAAATTTCCACAGGTTCAGCCAGAAATGAATGAAACTTTGGAAGTGATCTCAGACCCACAAAAGCCTATGGATCTGGATGAAGAGTCAACCCTCAACCACCGCAGCAGTCGAAGGTTTTGCCGCTGGAAATGCGAACACTAACGTTAGCTAACCTTGCAGCATTATAGATGGTTTTCTGTGTGGCTGTATGTGTTTATGATTTCATGGAAAATTCAGCGATTGTTCACATGTTTATGATGTATATTAATGATTGTTTCAGGTGTTGTTGAGGTTTTGTGCACGCATGTGTATCTGCTAGTGTTGAAGGTGTTTTAGAGAACAATAGGTACGCATGACCACTTCTTTCATAGCACCCTCAATAAAAAGACTAGCTCCTTTATAGCACCTGCAGAAAAACCTTTCTGGAGCCGCCACTGGTTCAAAGGACATTAGAATTCCATCCTCATACAGGTCTTTTATTTGGCCTATTCCCTTGTTTTCCCAGATTTTAAAGCCTCTATCAGCACGTGCAGGTTTAAACATAACATTGTCCCAAATCAGTGACAAAGCTGACAATTGCGACTCTTCATTTAAAACTATATGTGCTTGGTGCCTAATTGAAATCGTATTTCTAACCATAGGGTTTTTTTTTTGTATTTTTTAGTAATTGTTTAGCTGTATCTGAATAAATATAGAATTGTAATGGCAGTTCTATTTTGTTATTCTCAATTTTAACCAAAGAATGAATCTCCCTGGTTGGAAAATAACAAGTAGCTGCACTCAACTGGGCTGCCTAGTAGTACATCTTCATATTAGGCACTCCAAGCCCTCCTCGCTCGAAAGGTAAGTATAGCAGGGAGAGGCGTAACCTGGGTTGTTTATCATTCCAAATAAATGTGGAAAAAAATGTATTCAGTGATGAAAGTAGAGTGGCAGGGGTATATAGGGGAATAGACTGAAATAAATAGAGGAATCTTGGCAGAATTGACATTTTCAACGCATTAATTCGACTTATCATAGAAATCGGCATCCCATCCCATCTTTCCAATAGCTTTGAAACTTTTTGCAACAAGGGGTCATAATTGATAGGAACAATTTTCTTTATGTCAGGGACAATCTGAATTCCCAAGTAGGTGAAGCCTTGGTATGAGGGTTATTTTTATTTAAAAATAACAAGGAGCTTTTCTTCTGATTAATTTTGTATCCAGAGAAGTATCCAAAATTCTGTAAAATATTACTCACTGTCGGAACTGACTTCTCCGGTTTAGCCAAGAACAGGACGATGTCATCTGCAAATAGTGATAGCCGGTGATTGGTTTGACCAATTTTTATTCCTGCTAATTCGAAGGAGTTGCGTATCGCCATAGCAAGTGGCCAAAAGAAACAATAGCGGGCTAAGGGGGCAGCCTTGTCGAGTAGACCTACTAAGATGTATAAGCCTTGATGTCTGATTATTTGTTACAATTTTGGCAATCGGTTCTGTAAAGCAAATCATTGTTAATAATATTTAATTTGTTGCTTAAGTTTTTAAAGTAGTTAAGTGTTAAAAACGTGTCAGAAATATGTTAATCTCAATAAGTATTTAAGCTGTCAGGTTGAAGAGCCACATTTTAGTACTTTTACTGAAGCAAGCAGCAGAACTTAATAAAAGCATTCAGATTTTAAAAAATCTAAAAGACAATGAATGTTTAGCCAGGGGCGTGTCCAGGGAGTGGCCTGGGGTGGCACATGCCACCCTTGGAATCTGATTGGCCACCCCAGGTGACACCACACTAATTTACCTTTAAATAGGCTTTTCATTGTCCACAAAAGGCTTGGGGGTAAAACAAAAAAAGCATAACCATTGGTGCCACCCATGCACAAAGTTATGTCTCACCTGGGCCACCCCATTTTAAAAGATCTGGACACGCCACTGTGTTTAGCTTTGCAGCTTTACATCATTCCTTGATATTTTAATCCTTTTAGTGAAAATGAATAAAAATGCAAACAAACACATGCTTTTACTTTGGTGTGGACAGTAAAATTAGTAACAGTACATTGTTGTACTCACAGTTTTTGCTGAATAATCCATCATTATTTGTTGCTGATAGAAAACCTGCACAAACTGTTAAAAGATAATTTAAACAAACTTAAAATTAAGTTCTAACCAGAAATCTCCACCAGAGAAAATATTACCTGCCATCAAGCACAAAAAGACTTTAATTAAATTCCTCATTGTGGTAAAAATCCCTCCTTTCACCGTAAGAATCTCCTCTCTAATGAGCCTCAGCTTCTCCTTTCTCTCGCATTAAACTTAACATTTTTACTGTAAAATATAATGTGACTAAAGAGGAATAAACACAAAGAGGAAGGTGTGTGCTGACTTGAAGCATCAATCCTGTATCACTACCTGTTGTTAATGCACCTACAGTACCAAAGATATCACTGCTTTCCACTGTTGTAATGAGATAATGGGAAATCCAAAATTCATGGCCTCAAGTTATAAGGTGAAAGAGAATTTGTGCTTATCCCTCTGTTCAGGTGACTCCATCTAACACACAAATAGTAAAGCACCCATTCTGCATAGCACCTTCCAGGGTTCTAAAAATCCCCCAAAGTGGTTTACAAAACAAAAACGTAGCCTAGAAATCTAGACGGAGAGTAGCAAACACAAAATTATGCTCATTTGCATGTCCATCCAGCCACGCTCCATTGGCCCTGACCATCACAGCCCTTTGTTGGTTCGGTGGGCCAATCACAGCGCTCCATCGGTTTGGTGGGAGGGATGTTACTGCAACTGAGCGAAACTAAGATGGCGTTGGCTTGTTTCACTTTGGCATCAACTTTGTGCTGTGCGCATACTTGTGCTTTTCTTTGAGTCAAGAGCAGATAGTATTTAAAATACTTCCAAATTATATTTTAAAGAAACTCTTTGCAAGAATTTCTGAACTCGATTTTTGTTTGATCTCCCAAAGAATCTGTTCTACTTTAAGTTGAATCCAGATCTTAGTTCAGACTTAATCAAAGGTGGAGCTTTGCATTTAAGAGAAGAATATGTGGTGGACTCGATGTGAGATCTGGCGCTGTTGCAGCTGACAGGTTTGAAGCTGACGGAGGAGTAGCACAGGTCATCCGATTGGATCTGAGGCTCCAAAGAGATGTTTGTTTCCAGGAGATCTTGGCTTGCAGGAGACAGACGTCGTTCTTGACCTTCATTTGAGGGAGTGGTGGTGCCACAGGGTCGACCTTTTTCCTGAATGGTTGCTATGGTATCCTTTCCTGTGTAAAGTGGTGAAACGTGCAGAAGTTGGAAGATTTTACAATTTGTACATAAATAATTACAGAGCAACGCTAAAGAGAACATAGTACAATGTGACTAATTCATGACAGAACCACGATATTTTATTAAGGATTAATGTCCAGCAGACAGCTCAGCTGGAAGATGAGAAAAGGAGGCCCACAGCCAGAGCCTGATGCCAAAGCGAGGGTTTAGAAAGCAATAATTCCTCATGGAGGAAGAGGAGCTGGGCCATGAGCAGACTCTAAAAAGAAATGTTAAAGGCAGCGCTTCTTAAAAAATCTTTTCAGCTTTGTTTTGGTTAGCGGTCCGCTTAGTGGCGTATGTTTTCAGGAGGTGCGCTCATCACGTAGTGTGTCCTGTTGAAGCGAAACGTTGTGCTGTCTGTCTCACTGAAATCTTGCGCTGTAACAGTGGGCCACCATTCTGTTGTTTTCACAGTGTAACATGAACAATCCTGTGCGATAGCCAAAAATCGCAGTGTCAGCCTGACATATTGTGTAGACTTTTATTTTGACAAATGTCCAGCAGTGGAAATTACAAATTTTGATGCCCATTCTGATTGGTTGGTGACATGTTACAGTAACCCCCATGAAGCCGGGTTTTTTTTAGCCCAAGCCTAAAAAAAACCCGCAGCTTGCCCGACGCTGTTGCTCAGTTCTGGCTCCCACACTCTGGAATGAGTTGCCTTTGAGCGTTAGGCAGGCGCCATCGCTTCAGGTTTGTAAGTCTCGCTTAGGACTCACTTTTACATGATGGTGTTCCAGCAGTAGGGATCAAAACACTGCCTTGATCTATAATTGTTTTTTATCTCATTTAGCATGTTTTTTAATCATTTCCTGTTTTTGTGCGTCTGTCTCTTCATGTTGAATCATTGTTTAATTTTTTATCTTTGTTTTTTGTTCCACAACACTATATTTGTTCTTCTTGTGTGTTTTGTGGTTGTGTTCAGCACCTTGGGCTTCTGATAAGGATGTGGAAGGTGTGTTATAAAAAACAAACTCTATTTCTCCAAACAGAGACCATTCAAAAGTGTTCTACCACACAGAAACACTTTGAAACAGCCTGAGAATTATTTTAACCGAGTAAAAACTACGCCGTCCTAACTAATGATTTAATCAAATGTGTTTATTCACTCTGATCCTATAATCAGAGCAGCTGATTCTCAGTGTTTTCAATTCTGTCACTCTCTAAAAATGGCTCTTCCAGAAGTTTGTTTCATACCAGATGGTGTTCTGACATCTTTTTTCCTGAATGTAAAGAATAACAGGACAGCGATCGCCAGAACCAGGACAACCACAGAGAGTCCAGCTCCAGTAAAAAACAGCGTCTCTAAAATAAAATACAAAAGGTTATCATGGTAAAAGTTGTAAGAATTGATCACATAAATCTCATTTAAAATGTTCCTTACTAGAACCCTGTGACATCCAGATGTCTCCATGAGTCTCCTCTCCTTAAAACCAAAAGAGAATTGTGCCAGTCGTGCTTTGTTTCATAATCTTCTCTCTTTATCTCCTTCATTTTGTGTTTATTTCCTGTTTTTACTCTCAGTTTAATGCTTCTTCAAATTTAAAATTGCAAATGAAAACACGAAACAACTATTTAATTTGTTCAGAAAGGCTGCTAACTCACCCTGTATCACTGTGAGAAGAACTTTATTATAGGTGTCAGCACCGACTCTCTCGATTCCACACCAGTAGGTTCCTGAGTCTTCCAGTTTCAGATTGTGGATTGTCACATAAAATGTGTTTCCTTCCTCTCTTATTGTGTATTTCTTGTTGGAGATTGTCTTGCTTGTAATCAGGACGTCTTTATCGTAACACGGGTCTTTACAAAAATACTTCACATTGGTGTCGGCGTACGTGTGAGAGCATTTAACTTCAATGGGGTTTCCCACCTCTCCTGTTATGGCTTTGGCCTCCCATAACCCTGGACAGAACATACACACACACACACACACACACACACACACACACACACACACACAGACACTGGCAATTAAAATCAAGTAGTTTTACTCGGTTTTCAGATCAATTTCTGGTCTAATCTCAAAAGAAAATATTCAGATTACTAAAAAAGAAATGTTTTTGAAAATTCGCATTTTTAAACCAAAACAATGGTTTACAAAAAATAAAGGAAGGCTGTGTGTATTTTTAGCACTCTTGCAGTTTTGTTGATTCATTTCCTGCAGCGCAGAAGCAAGAGTGTCTGGGTTGAATGTGACTTTAGTGTTTAAAGGTGATCAAAATTTTCAGCACAAATGAAGTAAAGAAGTATTTATGAATCATGTGAGGATTTATGTTTTGTCTTCTGTCATGTTTAAAGTTCAAAGAAGTTTTATGTGAAGTAAAAACAAGACCCTCAGCCGGGAAATGTTACCCAAAGACTTCTGTAATGATGCGAAAGTGAAGAGAAACTGAGAGACACTTAAAGCAAACATGCAAAAAGAGAACATAGCAGACAGCATGTTTGATTTAGCTCAGCTTACCTTCCAGGAGAAGAATAATCAGGAGGAGGAGGCTGATTTTCATGTTTTCATCCAATAAACTGTTTCTCTGTGTCACTTCTCCTTTAGTCACCCAGATAAGGAGGCTTTAAACGTCTGTCTGCATAAATGATGTTAAGGCTGTGACCTTGTATGAGGCGAGTTCTTTCCTCCTGTCTGTCTTTTAGACGAAAAACTGAAGACATCCGCTTTTCAACATAAGTTAGAGGAAATAAACCAGATGTCTGATGTTTTGGGTGGAGCTTCCCTTGAAATGTCAGTTTTCTTTTTCCAGGCCAATCCAGTTTTATTTGTAGAGCATTTTAAAACATTTTAAAGCTTGACAGCTAACCAAAGTACCAAACACAACAAACCTTTGTTGGGACATAAGGTTTAGGACTGTCTGCAAAAGAGACCCAAAAGCAGAGACTAACATTTTTAAATGAATCCGGTATTGAACAGGCAACCAGTGCAGTTAGACTTCTGTGCTAATTGTAGCCTTGTCATCAAGGCTTGATTTAGTCCAACATGTAAGGACTACATTGTAAGGATTACAGTAGTCTGATCATGATGTAACAAAAGCGTAGGTCAAGGTCTCAAAGTGAGCTTTGAGAGTAAGTGAGTTGATCCTGGCCGAACAAAAATGGAAGAAACAGTTTACACTTGCAGTTTATTAAATCATGTGACATCTCACAAGAGACCGATGAAAACTATAAAAGGAGACACAATAACCTCTTGTACACTACTGTATTGTCTCAAATCTAAATGAAACCACTTCTGACCTTAAAGTGACCAAATGGAATATTAGTATCAGCACCTTCATCATAAACCTGCCACATCCGGTTATGTCTACTGCCTTCTGGTGGACAATCCACAGTTGGCAAGGGCCAGTGTTATTCTTTAATACTTTTGCACAATTACATAATAAAATAAAACATATTTTTCGATAAATGTTATGTCAACTAAAGCCAATTAATAGTTTCTTTTTGAAAATTAGAGTTTTCAAGCCTTACCAGCACACTGACCTATTGCCCTGACACTTGGAGATTGTGGGTTCAAGACAGTCCACGGTTAGATCATACCAAAGACTTTAAAAATGGGGCCCAGTGCCTCCCTGCTTGACACTTCATTGGGGGATTTGGTTGGGTGTGTCTGCAACTCACCACTTCCCCAGGGGATGGGTCAAATGCAGAGAATTTCACCAGTGTGACAACTAATCTCAAATATTTATCCATAAGAGATGAAGCAGCCTTTTAAAAAGCAAGCATTCTAAAAAGTGTTCTAGAAATACAAAGCCTCACCTTTTTTTCAAAAATATGTACAATTCATTAGTGATCAGCATTTAAACAACAAAACATTTTTAAACCTTGTTTCAGCAGACCATGTTAATGCATGGATCTGCTGCTGCTGTACACATAACACCCTGCATCTCAGTGGCTAATGTGCTCTTTTCTTGCAGACAGTGATAAACATGCTCATCCAGCAGGCTGAGGTCCAGATGTTGGTACTGACAGATGTGACCTGGTACGTCAATGTCAGCATAATCATCTCGGCTGAAAGACATAATGGACTCCCGCTGCTGTATTGAGAAGTTGGCACAGAGTTCAGCTGGTGGAGATGGTAAAGCTGAAAGATCGATGCCGTCTGAATGACAGCCGTGCTCTGGTTCCTTATTTTATGCCAGGCATCATGGTCTCATAGTCTGATGATGTCTGCAAAGAGGAGAAATCAGTGAATAATCATGTTACTGGAATCTAGTTGTTTCACTAAAAGGAGTAGGAGATTAGGCCCACAAATCAAGCAGGACATTTGTGCCTTTGGTGCCAGTGTTAACAAATCATATTAATGTTCAGTCAAACCATATATTGATCTTGTTTATTCAAGACATAATTCTAAAACAAAATAAAAATATTACAATTAATGAGTAAAGAAATAATCAGGAAAAAAATACATATGTTGCTGCTGCTCACCATTTAAAAAAGTTTTATCTCCATAGTTGTTTTAACACAGCAACAGGTGAATTAACCCAAAAAGTACATTTTTATATTTAATCATGGATAACATTTTAAATAACTGAAATGTATATTTCTGAAGTGTTTGTGTTTGTAAAATTCATATGTACTGTTATTTTAATAAAAACGAATAAAGGCGCAATGCAGTACATCGCCACAAGCTAAATTCTCCCAGCATTACCACAAGGACCAATTTGGTGTGCCACCCCAAAAATGTCTTTGGCCCCATCTGGCCACCCCCATCAAAATTTTTTGGAGGCGCCCCTGGACATACATTGAAAGTCTGGATATTCCGACCACAGCTGGATCATTAAATGTGTGCTCCAACATTCTTATTTATTATTATTTTTTTCCTCTCATCCAACAAGGACGTTAGCGGTACCTCGACTAGCAGTAGCAGCAGCGCAGGCAAGCATTAGCTGTAGGTCAGGCTACAGTTTGCATTACCGGCATCAACATTTATATATTGCTGACGCTTAAGTGGGTTGGGACATACAGATTTAAGGGGGTTGCTTATGACCTGCCATACCAGCTTTTCTCAGAACAACCCGTTTCTCCATGGCCATTACAACATGACTAATTTACATAGAAAAGCAGATCGTAAATGGCACAGACTTTTGGTGTGCTACTTTAGACACCCCAAGCTGCCCATATGCAACAGCAACAAGATAAATGCATTTTAGATTGCTAGGATCCATTTAACCCTCTGGAGGCAGGCGTTGCAGATTAGCAACGTTAAAACCGACCTACCTGGTTACTCCACATACATATTTCATGAGCATTTTTTAACTCAGAAGTACCTCTGAAGGATTTAGTTGTTCATCCTTTTATCAAAACTTATTTTGAGCCTGAGAGGGTTAAAGAAAAATGAATGAACTGTGATTACCGTATTTTCCGGAATATAAGCCGTTACTTTTTTCCCACACTTTGAACCATGCGGCTTATAATGAGGTGGGGCTTTACTGAAGATTGTCCTTCACCTACCAGGGGGCGCTTTAGCAGAAAGTGAAACAGGTGGAAGTCAAACGTGGAAATCGAAGAAAGTGTTCATTTTAATTTAGCACATGCATGCAGTCGGTAGGGATGGGTACCGAATTCGGTACTTTTTAAGGTACCGACCGAATTCCATAGTACCGACCGAGCACCGGTTCACGTCATTTGAACGGTGCCTCGTTTCGGTACCCGTCCATCATAACGAGAACTTGCCAAGACAGCTGCGCATGCGCAAGAGCGTTATGTCGTCGGTCCCTGCGAGCGAGTTGTAAACAGAGCAGCATGGTAGAAAGAACGCACGCTAAAGCTTGGGTCCACTTCACTAAATGTGATGGTTAACTGGGTGATGATGAAACCAGCGACAACGATCTAAGTGAGACATCCTCATCTTAATCTGCTCCGGTAGGTATATAATTAGCTTGATATGTTAGCTTCCGTTTCACTAATGGTGCGTTCACTTTCTCCTCGGAACTCCGAATTCCCGAATAGAAGAACATGAACGCGCTCTAAAGTTTGGCTTCACTTTACTAAATGTGACGGGTGAAGACGAAACCAGTGACAACGATCTAAGTGTGAGGCATCATTGTTTTAATCTGCTCCAGCAGCTAAATAAACTGTTTAAGATAACGTTAGCTTGGTATGTTAGCTTCCATTGCTACCATTGTTATCAGCTAATGGTGTGTTCGCTTTCTCCTCGGAAATTCTAACTTCTCAGTAGGAAAAAATCAAATGAAAAAGAACGGCAAAAGGAATGAAGATACACAGTAAATTTAGTTCACAGTAAAGATGTTTGCTTCAGTTTAATTATCAGCTTATAAAACTACAAGGACGATGTTAAAATACAAACAGTTGTATGTTATTTATCGTGATATATATCAAGTATTGTTATATATTGAGAAAAATATATATTTAATTATAAAAGAGATTTAAAATATTAAACACTCAAAAGTATCGAAAATTGGTACCATTAAGTACCGGTATCGAATCGTAGGTACCGGGAATTAGTACCGGATCGATTCAAATGTCAAAGGTACCCATCCCTAGCAGTCGGCACGACAAAGATTTTTTTTCAAATCCACACCCCCTCATCATGGTAACAACACGTATGAGTTCATATGTTGCCACATTTAAGTTGAAGGCCATCGATCTGGCAGTAAAGGAGGTAAATAGTGCTGCCGCACGTATGCTTGGCATGAATGAATCCATGATTCGGCGCTGGAGACGGCAGCGGGAAGAACTCATTCAAGCCAGCTTCACCCAGGGATGATGACAGCAACACGGACATCGACACTGACATCGCCACAGAAAAGGTATGTGACGAAGCTCTTCTGAGGCTGTTCAACTCCGACACTGAAGAAGAGGACAAATGGCTTTAGTGTGCAAGAGGAAGATGAGAGCGAATGACTTCTTCTGGTAGCCAAGTGTGTTTTATTTACTAACCAGGCATGTTTTGTGTGCAGTTTTTATTTTCTAATCGTCCAGGGCTTATTAATGCTGTGTCAGCGCTGTTCTTTTCTTCTAAACATTCATGCAAATTACCGGTAATAACGTGTCAGTTCTGTTTTAATTTTATAACCATCCAGAAATATGAATGCTATCAGTGCTCACCCGTGTTTAAAATTTGTTTTGTTGGATTAAAACAACAACGAAAAACCTCCGTGTAGCGTCTTTCTGTCTAATTATCTTATGATATGGCCATACATGCGCTGTGCGCCGGAGACCTGCATGTGGCTGCTGCGCCGCGGCTTGTATTGGAGTGTGGCGTGTGTGTGTAGAAAACCTTTTTTTTTTTGTTGGTGCGGCTTATATTGAGGTGCGCTCTATAGTCCGGAAATTACGGTATTTCTCAAAGGGGGTAGCCTGTGTACTTATTTATTGTAAAACTGACCTGTCTTTTCTTGAGTGGGGCCGATCTCCTTTGTTTCATAGCCAGCTGAAGAGAGATGGTGAACAGACACACAAAAATCATCGCTGCCATGCACAACAGGGCAACAAAGAGCAACTGCTGAGTGAATTCTGTATGAGAGAACGACATCTGAGGTTTACCAAGGAGGACTCACACACAAACACACAATGTACAGTATAGGGAGCCTAAGTCTCCTCCCTTTCCGGTCGGCTCATGGGTCCCCGGAAGAATGAAAAAATTAATGCAAGTCAATGTGGCTAAAAGAGCCATTTTCTAATCCGCTGTAAGCACTTTCTTGGCATCAGAATGTGTCTTTTCAGTGTACTGACATCATATGTCTAAAAAAACGGGATTAGAAAACAGTTTTTATAGCCCCATTGACTGGCATTCAAATGTTCTTGGTCCGGAAGTAGGAGGGCCTGACAAACACTCCCTATATGGCTAACATGAAACTAGCACTCACTGTGATTGTTGGTAGAATCAGGCACTTCGATCACTGAAACAAACAAATAATTATTGGTCAAATAAATGCATTTAACAGTCCTTACAATACCTGCATTCACACTTTAAAAAAAACGATAAAGTAACTTTTTTAAAACACTCCCTATTTCAGTAGAAAAGCCTGTGTGGGGTATTTTTCCTGTAGCACAGTTGATTTTACAATGTTTGAGGCATGAAAGACTGTCGCTGGCTGAGCTGACAGGGTGGGGGGATGAGCATTCGGAAGTGTGACCCGGCCAACGGTGCTGTCAAATGAAAGCTTTTCACTGTCTGATTTGGTTGTCTGGGGGCCCCAATCGATTGCCTGCCCTGCCTATCAGCATGCAGCGCCTCAACTGGAATGTCCCAAATCCAAAGTGGAAGAAGTTGAGACACTGCTTACATCCAGTGAAGCTAATTGTAAAACGCATCAGTTTGTACCACAGAAAACGAAACCTCAGAAAAGCAGAAGATATTATCCAATAGGTAAGACACCGTTCCTGTTTATGGGACGTGTGGCCTGACAGTTTTACATCACACATTTCCCATATTAGTGTGTTTGCAGGTACCCTGATGTTCCCTGAGAGATTTTTCATTGTGATCTTCCTTTTTTTGTAGTGATTACCTTTTGATACATCCAGGTGAATCAAACTGATGTGATCAGGTTGGTCTTGGAAGCTGACTCCACATCTGTATCTCCCGCTGTCATTTAGGTAGAGTTTATCCACCCTGACGATGAAGAAGGCGCCAGTTGTGTTGTCGTACACAGAAAAGCGTTCCCATCTCACCCACGTGTTGTGTTCTTTGGTCATTGTCTTGTAATTGTCTGACTCAGCATCATCACGATGGAAGTACTTCATACGGTTCTCTTGACCAATTGAATATTCACATTTGAAGTCCAACATTGTACCCTCCATGCCAGAAACGAATGTAGGTTTGATGCCAGTCATAACTGTAATTCAGAAATATAATATGAATGAATGAATGAATGAATGAATGAAAGTAATTTCCAGGTAATATTCTCTGAACTGTAGAAAAATACATTAGAGGATCATTTAAATTCAGCATTTTATTAGATTCTGGAAGAGGGAGCCAAAAAGTCTAAATGTTCTAGTTATAGCTCACCATGGATTTGTAGGGAAATGACGAATATAGCCAGAAATGCTCTCCACGAGATTGACGCTGTTCCTATCATTCCCAGTTTGGCTTCTGATTACACAGCTAGATTCTCCCACAGCCACTCATGAAGGCAAAAGATTTCGGCTCTAAGGTCAGTGTCGGGTGCTTTCAGTTCCCAAAATCTGAACCATTTCCTCTTTGATGCAGAAACACCAAGCTAAACTGAAATCTACTATTGAGATTTGAAAGAGGGGGTGGGAAGTAATAAGTGTTAAACTTGATCCCACTTCTTTTCAAGCAGCAGTGACTTTTTTAGTATTTGGTTTTTTAGATTATTGTCTTATGTCGTACATTTTGTATACTTTTTTATTGTGTGCTTGAAATAAATCTTACTTAATAAAAAAATAATTTGATGTGCTTATACACCACCCAGCCTAAAAAAAAGGGTCACACATATTTCGTTAGACCACCTTTAACAAAGATTGCGGCACACATTCACTGTGGCATGGTTTCAGTAAGCTTCTGCAATGTATAAATAAATATATAAAAATGTTTTTTATTAGAATTTAAATAATAATAGATCATACAGTAGTTTTATAGGGTTAGGTATTGTAAATAAAACAGTGACATTACCGTTTAGTATTCAATTTTAATAAATTTCCAGGTTGGTCAGATCATTCTGTCACGTTGCGGGTGTAGGAGATGATGGACCATGTGTGGTAGAGCAGATCAGGAGGTAAAGATGCAGGCTTCAGATAAAGTAAAATGGTTTTAATGGTGGGACGGGAACGAACAGCACAAGACAACGATGACAAACAACCACAATGATCTGACAAAGACTGATACAGGGAGGGAGGTAAATACACAGGGCAAATGAGGAACACATGGGCAGGTGAACAAGGGGCAGGTGAAAACAATAAGGACTAATCAAGGGCAGGAGAGAGACACAGTCAGGGAGGCAGGGGCAGACCGTGACATTGCCGACCCCCGGACTAGGAGATCGGGGTTCAAATACATGGTTGGGTCATTCTAAAGACTTTAAAAAACGGGACCCAAAACCTCCCCACTTGACACTCAGCTTTAAGGGGTTGGATTGAGGGATTAAACCACCAAAGAGTTCCTGAGCGCAGCCACTGCTGCAGCTCATTGCTCCCCACAGGGATGGGTCAAATTTGGACATGTGATTTCACCAGTGTGTGATGATGACTAATGGGACTTTAAAATGACCCTTTTTAGGGTTTATGTAATGTCACTCAGACCCCTACCGCCCTCTGTGGCTAGAATATCGCATATAAACAACTGATTTGTTTTAATTAGTAATGAACTGCTCCTGTTAAAACTAATGAAGGTCTGGGGAGACATTTCAGCTGTTAGATTAAGGCCTAGTCCACACGTAGCCGGGGGTTTTTAAAAACGAATATCCGCCCCTCCAAAAACTTGCATCCACACCACCTCGTTTTAAAAACAAACTCTGTCCACACGTACCCGGATAAATACGTTGTTAAGGACATGCCAGACCTGTAGGCGGCAGTACTTCCCCCGTTCTTAACCTCGTCCTTCGTCTGTGGTCTTCCGCAAGGAGCAGTAATTCCGCTTGCAAAAACAAACAAGCAGAAAGCGCTTGGACAATTGATGGATCGGGTAGTGACAGAGCGCAGCTCTGAGGGCTTCCATGATGCCGGCTAGTGTAAACACAGGTCGCACACGTGATGTCAGCATTTTTTGTCGCGGAAAGTAACGTTGCGGACCTTATAACTCCGGTTTTGTCTGTCCACACGCAGACACCCAAAACGAAGAAAACGCAGATCTTCACTTTGGCCGGAGTTTTTAAAAAGATCCGTTTTCGTGTGAAAAAACTCCGTTTTCGTGTGGATGACAGGCCAAAACGTAGAAAAATATCTACGTTTTGGCAGATCCCCGGCTACATGTGGACAGGGCCTAAGATGTTAAAAAGATGAACGCACAGCGAGGAGATACGTTTTGCTTTTGGTTCTATTAAACGGACACTAGGGGGTGCTAAAAGGAAGCCAAAACTGCCAAGACTGCCTTTAATGTTTGATTAAAAAAATTGGGAGTATTTGAGATGATTTCCCTGTAAAATTGTGTAACTCATTTCTTTAACTACACTAAAATATGAATGTATTGCTGTAATTTAGAGAAATGTTTCAAAAAACCTAGTCCTGTTTAGTTATTTCAAACACAAGCTAATGATAAAATGACCACAAAGCTTATTTTTCCTCCCGTGTCCTGTTTGGCTGTAAAGCTATCAGAATTGATGTCTGAGTCCTGAAGACAAGCCTTACAGTTTTACTCTCACAGGTGGAGCAGAATAGCTTCAGCTATAACGCCACGCCTGATACCAAATATTTTCATTTGTTTTAAATCCCAACGGATACGGAGAAAGAAATGAAAGAGAAAGGGGGGAGAAGAGGGGGGGGGGGTGTATTCACAACAATAAACAATAAAGGATGTGGAAGAATCTGCTTCTAGACCTGCACAAAAATAAGAAAACAAAGGGGGACACACAAAAATGCAACATATCCAAAATATCACTGCACCAATCACATGAGAATATATAACAGTAAAAATTTTTGCTGAAAAGCACACCCGAATAATTCATAGTGCATTTAGTGCCAACCACAGCCTTAGGTTATGTGTCAAAAGTGCCCAACTTGTGAGAGCACCATGTGAGCACCATATGTGATACACTCACTTGTGTATGTAAGGTTTCTCTATAGGAGTGTTCAATATGCATGGCCTGTATTTGTATAGCACCTTCTTAGGGTTCTACAACCCCCCAAGGTGCTTCACAACAAATCACTCATTCACACACATTCACACGCTGGTGGGGATGAGCTACAATGTAACCAACTGCCCTAGGGCGCACTGACAGAGGAAAGGCCTGCCGAGCACTGGCACCACTGGTTCCTCCGACCACCACCAGCAGGCAAGGCAGGTTAAGTGTCTTGCTCAAGGGCACAACAGCAGCATTCTTCTGGTTGGAGTCAGAATCAAACCTGGCACTGGATAAGGCCAACCCCCCTCCTGAGAAGCACGGACCACAAATCTTAATGTAAAATATTTTTACAACCATGACAAATAAACCAATTAATTTTACATTTTTAATGAAAATGTTTAAACCTTTCCAGAAACAAGACACACTATATGAACATTAACTCTAATCTTCCATCTGGACTCTTGAACACAAACTATTTAAACAGATTTCCCAAAACCTGTTATTATAAACAAGTTAAAATTGTATTTCTTTAAAGAGTAGACGAATCTTACTTCACTCACTTTCTGTTAGAAAAGTGCAACAAATGCTGTTGCCTGGCAGACCGAGAGGGCATAGCCGCTAATAAATATATACACACACACACAGGCTCATGACATTGTGACATCATAATGTACCAGCTAACGTCACTATGTACCTCTTAGCCAATAGCGGTGACAGATTTAAATTCAAACGCAGTCCAGAGTTTTTACCTGAAGATGGCGCAACACTGACAGTTTAGGCAGAATATTTAAAATTTAAACTAAGAAGCACTAAAGTGCCAAATTATTGACTACATATGTCTACAGCACAATTAGACACTCATTTATATAGTTTATCAGCAAAAAAAGGTTGATTTGGGGTGACTTGCTCTTTAAATCTTGAAAAAGTCATGTAGAAAATGACTCACAAAGCTTTTGCTGATTTAAAAAATAAGTGGCAACCTGGAGGACGCATGAGTTACTGTGGTTTCATTTTCTTTTGAAACTAAAAAACTAAACATCTTTGGCATATGTGCAAATAGAGTTTTTCTTTCTCTGGGCAGAGGTGGTGTAAGTTAGCCTAGTGAACTAGACCAAATTCTTGCTTTGCAAAGTTTGGCCTAGGAACGCTCCACTGGAACCTCTGCAGCCCCAACAGCATTCTGGCTGGCCAATCACAGCTCTCTGGAGGGGTTTTAAACACATAAAGAGCTGTGATTGGTCCATAATGGTGGGCCAATCATAGTGCTCTATCTGCTTAGTGAACAAATCACAGAGCTTTGTCCGCTTTGTGGGCCAATCAGGGCACTCTATATGACTGGTGGGTGGGATGATGCAACAGAGTGAAACAAGAGTATGTCACATTCATTGTCCAGTGGAATGCAGAGATCATTTGAAAGACAACGGTAGAACCCGCCCCACAACCGAGAGCCGTCAATGGAGCGTGGCCAGACTAAATAATACATTTATTTAGTCTGGCTTGCCAGGCTAGGTGTAAGTGTGAGATAGAGAAATTTGAAAATGTACCTTTAATTTTTTCACACCATCCTACTTGAAAAGCAACACACTAATGAGTTGACCCAGATTGAAGCAAATGTGTGAATAATCTCGTCACATAGAATAAAAAAACTTTTTATTTTACCGTTGTTACATAGGCCTATTTTGATGCCTATTCCTCGAAAAATTGTAAAAATGGCATTTAATGGTAAAAATAATTAAGATAGCCTTGTAGTGCTGGGTTTGCTGATTAATTTGATGGGAATTATTACTATTTCTTCTGTAGTGTGAGGTTTTTTTTTGGCCCTGTTAAGGAACTAACATGGGCTTAAGATTTTTGTTAATCTGCTGAATTTCGTATATTTTCCTCTCAAATCAGTAAAAATACCTCTGAAATCAGTAAAAATATCCCTCAAATCAGTAAAAGTATCTAAATTTAGTTCATTTTACAGTTTAAACATGAGCTGCATCATTGTTTGTTACATTTCTGTAAAAAAAAAATTGAAACATGAATTGGCGGGACTTGTGTTTGGTGTCCTCTGCAGGTTTTTGGCAACATTACAAGAAACCAGTCAGAACTTCTCTGTCTCTCAATTCACGGTAAATAAAAAGGAACTGATTTAAACACATTATGAAACTGTTGTCACAGAAATTATATTCACATAGCTCTTTATTTGACTGAAAGCACAGAAGAGATGCTGTCATTGTAAGAAGCAGTTTGAAAAACAGATGACTCCATCCTCAGTGGACGGTTTTGGGATCCAGTCCTTCATAGATGACGGCGTACTGTAAGTTATCATCGATGCTGGACTCTGGATGATCCTCTAGTTCCAAAGACTGAAGACTCATTACAACTTGAGTGGAAGCTATGTTTTCATCGCAGCTATCTTCCTGTGAATGATTAGGATCGCCATGATTTAATTTTAAAAATCTGTTATAAAGGAGTTATGAGGAATACAGAAACTTACCTCAGCCCTGGCTACTGATGGTCTGTCCTGACCTGAAACAAATCAGACAATGAATTTAAAGGAGTCAAAGTTGTTTTTTGGAGTTTAAGTTGTGTGATGTCTCTGTGCTCGTGTCACCTGCATGATTTCTCCAGTGTCTGTAGAATATTAGAGGGATGATGGCACAAACCAGAACAGCCAGACATCCAGAGACCATTATAACCACTGCAGTGTCTGTAAACAAGCATAAACTGCTCATTAAAAAAACTACAGATAATGAAACATTTACCTTATTTGAAGGTGCATGAAGTAAGAATGACACCCTGTGGTAAAATGTCAGTACTGCAGTCCATGTCCCACTAGTTCTCACACACGCTGGTGTGAGAAATTTTGTTCTCCGCCACTGGCCCATTCCCTGGGAAGTGATGAGACAGACACGGCCGCACTCAGGAGATATTTGGTGGTTTAACCCCCCAATCGAACCCCTTAATGCTGAGTGTCAAGCGGGCAATGGCTGGCCACCCAGCAAAAGCCATTGTTAATAAATCATATTAATGTTCGCTCAAACCATAAATTGATCTTAATTATTCAAGACATAATTGTGAAACTAATTTAAAAAAACACAATTAATGAGCAAATAAATAATCAGAATTTTAATAAACTTATATGTTTCTGCTGCTCACCATTTAAAAATAGTTTTTATCTCCATAGTTTTTGTGAACACAGCAACAGGTGAATTAAACTAAACAAAATACATTTTGAAATAACATTTTAAATGACTGGAATTTATTTTTCAGAAATGTTTGTGTTTGTAAAATTTAATTTAAATGTTTTGGATACGTACTGTTTATATTTTATTGTTTTAATAAAAACGACTAAAGAAGCAATGCAATACATCGCCACAGGCTAAACTCTCCCAGAGTTACCACAAGGACCAATTTGGTGCGCCACCCCAAAAATTTCTTTGGCCCAGTCTGGCCACCCCTATCGACATTTCCTGGAGGCGCCCCTGCAAGTGGGGAGGCATTGGGTCTCATTTATGGAGTCTTTGGTGTGACCCGACCGTGGATTAGAACCCACGATCTCCCAGTCTCAGGGTGGATACTCATACCACTAGTCCGCTGCGAAGAAGAGTCATACATAGTAAGTTCATAACCACATAAATACATCTCATTGTAATATTGAGTTCCTGGTCATTGAAATAGTTTGAGATATTTTTAGATAGTCTATTTGTTGTTAATTCACCGTTAGCATAGTTGGTTCAACGTTAGCCTCTAGGCTTCTTTACCTGAAATTACTGTTGAACACCTTTGCCACAATGCTGATGCCTTTAGCCAGCCAGTGCTGAATTACTAATGCCGTTGCAGACTTGGCAACCTCACAAGCTCACATTTCGTAAACAAAAGACTACGTCCCTCTTTGCTCTTTTTAAAAGGAGAAAATCTGACACACACACAGAGTTAGCTTAGAAGGAAATCACATGGGCATGAAGCCATCTGCAATGGGTAAGACAGTAATGATAACTTTTCCACAAAAACACAAAAAAATGACTCCTGCATGTATTTGTGGTTCCTCTGCTTACAAAGATCTGCAGAAGCCTGTTGATCATCTTTTGGTATAAACCAAGAGTGCAGAAGCAGGAAAATGTCTAAAAACTGTGATTCCGGAAGACAGACGTGTGCAACAGGCAGCTGGACACACAAGGTCTAACAAAGGAAACAGACAGGGATGATTACAATAAAAGCATGGGTTTTGTATTTTATTTTGTAGAAAATTAAACAACAGTCATGTAATCCATTGTCACAAATTCACATCAAACCACTTTTGAACAAGATTTACCAAAAAAAAAGAAAAAGGAACTTTTTAATATAAAAACTATTTTTATTATTATTGCTGAGCAGAATGTACAACATGTAAACATGCAAGATGGTGGCCATCAAAGACTCGGAAACAGACACAGCTTATTTAAATTTGCTGTTTAAACTAATCGGGACCATGATGTTAAACAAATGTACATATTTAAAATTTAGTTTATTGGACTGAATTTAGATCTTTGTTAACGTTCTAAGTTTCCAGTTTCCGGCTGTTTGCATATTCTGATTGCATTGCAAAAATTAAAAACAAGCTTAGAATATCTATTTTTTGTATTTGTTGGGATTAAATTCAAATTTTGAGAATAAAATAAATATTTTTATACACATTAGAAACTGGGATTTGAGCAAATCCACCTCCTCATATTTTAAGGTCATTTAACGATGTTCTGGACCAAGAGCTGACAAATTTCCAAATCCATCTAAATGTTCAGAAAACAACGTCTTTATAAAAAATAGATAATTAAGTTTTTTCTAATATGCTGAGTTGTATTTGTTAAATACCTGTGAGGTCATTTGCTTTCTGTTGACTCTTCCTCTCCGATGAGAACAGCGTGGGGGTTCCTGGTGAAGCTTCTGTGCTTTGGGCACGAGTTACCTCATCCATCTTCGTGTTGGTTTGAGGGGATGGAGGAGGTCGAGTAGGAACAGTGGAAGCTTTGAGAGAACAAGAAGTATGACCAGTCAGATATAATATATGCTTGTAAACAAACAAGCTCATGTGACATCTGTGGATGTAAGTAAATGAAGAAAGCACAAATGGTAAATGGTAAATGGCCTGTATTTGATATAGCGCCTTCTAGAGTACTGGAACCCCTCAAGGCGCTTTGCAACACAATCAGTCATTCACCCATTCACACACACATTCACACACTGGTGGGGATGAGCTACAATGTAGCCACAGCTGCCCTGGGGCACACTAACAGAGTCGAGGCTGCCGAGCACTGGCGCCACCGGTCTTGCCCAAGGACACAATGACAGCGACAGACTGAGTGGGGCTCGAACCTGCAACCTTCCGATTGCGGGGCGAGCACTTAACTCCTGTGCCACCATCGCCCACAAGATGTAGCCTACGGTGCACACGCCAAATAACGACCCGATTATTTAAGGCCTTCATAGACGATTTATGTCTTCTATTAACGTGCAGATTTACAAGAAAACAACAAAACGTTTACCATCAACAACATTCAGAATGACCTCCTGGTGCGATGAGTCAAATTGTATTCCACAGCGATACCTCCCAGCATCCGCCCGCCTCAGCCTCCTTATGGTCACTGTGAAAACTCCACCTGCTTCGTCTGACTCCATCCCGTATCTTCCTCTCTGAGTCACAGCAGATCTCACCTCAGTCTGGATGAGAGGGTTTTCACCCGAGCAGAGGCCTTTGCAGAAGTACAAGCTGGTGTTTTCTGACCTGTTTTCTGTGTTCCAGTAACTAGAACAAGGGATGGAGACGTCTCCACCAACATGGCCGCTCATCTCCAGGATGTCTGAGGCCTCCACGCACACAGCTGAAGGATAAAACCAAACGTTTGGATGAAACTGAGCTCCCACTCTGCAGTACGCTGCACATTTGGGGTTTTTATTTGTCTCCACATAGATTCTCATTCATTGAGATTTTGTGTTTTACATGAAAAATGAGATGAGTGTTTTAAGAAGCAACAAACAGTTTGAATGAATAAAGTTCAGGGAATAAGAAGTGTATTTATTTCATTTATTGACCAGGCCCAAATCTGTATTTGTTGCAGTTAAATTTTTGCATTTATAAAACAATTATATTATTAATCTATATTTGCTTTGTAGAATATTTTAATTAATGCATTTAATATTTTAAATAGTCTCATCATACCATGAAATAAAAATGTAGTTTCTTCCTCAGTTTCATTCTTTACATTTAACTTTTGTTTTATTTTATTATCTTTTTATTTTTAAAGTCTGGTGATAAAATAAAAGATAACATCTGAATCAGAGATGCTTGCTTCCACACACCCTTTTTCCTCCTCTGACTCTGCTGTGATAGCTCATTCTTATCCAGGCTGCAGGAGCACCAGGTCTAGTGAAGACGTCCAGCCTTTTCCTCGCTTCAACAGCTCCTCCTCCGGGACCCTGAGACATTCCCAACCAAGTGATACAATCCCACCAGTGTGTCCTGGGTCAGCCCAGGGTTGTCCTTTTAGTAGGACATCCAAAACTTCTCCCTGGTCCATAGAGCATCCTGACCACATGCCTGAATCACCTCAACTGGATGTCTAAGCTCCCCTCCCTGCCTGTGCTTCTGACCACATCAGGACTGGAAGATAGAGCGACCATTTTCCAGAACATCTGTGTCGAGATCATTGACCTCTGCCAGATGATCTCTTCCTTTCTCCTCACTTCTGAGCAAGACCCAAAGATAATTAAACTACGGAGGTATGATTTCTGAAATTCCCTCATCCTCCACATTTTTCATCTCTGTTCACCCATCTGCCGTTATGTCTCCCTTCTCATTCTAGGTGCCATCTAGGAGGTTTTCAGTCAGCTCAGGTAATCCAGCATCAACACGAGTCTCCAATCCCTCAACCTTCAGCAGCAGGTTTCTGCAGAGGAGCCCATCAGAAACTTCAGATTTATCCTTCTGATCCTCTTGATCAATGAAACTTGCACTAGGTGTGGCTAATAGGTGCTAAATCATGTGCACTCTGACAGTTTATGTTAGACGCTCAGTCTTAAACACCAAACTCGGATCAATTAACTCTGGTGTCCAGGGAGCGATGGGATTCATGTCAAGCTGCTTGCAGCATCCTGATGGTGCATGCATACAGTGGCTTTAACAGTCTGTATTGGATGAAAGCAAATCTGGATCTTTATTTAATCCGTTTATCTGTAAACTTTTGACAAAAGGCCAAAAGCAGTTTTCTCCTGATGAGTCACAAATAAACCAATTTTGCACGAAAATGTCGAAAAGAACTGCACTACATCATCAGGATCTTCTGGGCTAAATAATGCATTATGTAAACAATCACAAAAGTCTCCTTGATTGATGAAGTTACCAAGAAAAGAGAAACAACCTTTTTTTCGGCACAAACTATTAATTTATCTTTAAGATTTACAGCAAACAGAAACTCTGCTTCTGTTTAACTCGTTCATCTTTTGGTTAATCGTTTACTTTGGTCTGAAACAACTTTGAACAGTTATTTTCAGAACGTACCTGCTTTATTGTGAAACTTTTCATAAAAAAACTATATCTCATATCTTATTAGAGATTATGTTATTGAGGAGATCTGTAATAATCTGCGTCAAAATGAGAGAGGATCAGTGCAACTTTGCAGATAGATTAGCAGATTTCAACTCTAAAACGAATAGTTATTGCTGCACATAGATGCAATAGTCTGAATTACTTAAAAAGAGTTTGGAGAATTCCATTTTTACGAAGGTCTGCCGCTAATCAAATTTGATTTCTGTAATCTAAACCCAAAAAACTCACCTGAGAAGCAACAAAAAGTGACAACAAAAGACTTCATTCTGTGATCCCGTCAGAAAGAAAAGATTAAAACAGAAAAATGTTGCTTCTAATGATTTTTCTGCTTCAAAGTCATAAATTATGAGTCTTCCAAAGCTTCAAAAAATAAAAATAAAAAAGAGCTGCGGTGCATCTTCTGTTAGTCTGTACATGAAGTGGTCATGATTTGGATGTCCATCTTTAGCTAATATTTATCCCAAATGTTAAACCTGCATCGTGAGCCAGCTCTTTCCCTGGGATTGCAAGGACCAGCTCATGACTGAGGCCATCCATAATGTCTTCAGTGTTTGTCTCCGACTCCCCCAGCTATCTGTGTGCCTCCCAAAAATCACCAACACATTAGGCTGCAGGGCATCACGCTCAAAGAGCGGTTTGTCTGCAGACTGTGTCACGGGTATCTGAGGGCAACCTGAGGACTGTTTGTTACTGCATGATGGCACAGCTCTGCCTCAAATAAAGACCTAAAATCGAATTTGTTTTTGTCACAATCTGCTACAGGTCTGAGAGAAAACGACTGATTTGAAGTGAGCCGACTCACTCAGAGAAGTCATCTCCCGAAGCATCCTTTATCTAATGCACTGACATCCAAAACTAACACAAGCTTCAGCTTTTATTCACTGGTATTTAAAGGTGTGGGAAACTCATTTCATAAAAACATCTGCTGTGGTCTCTGTTAGGAACGAATGCCTTGCAAGCAGTACTCGGGTTAAAAAGAGCCCAGAAACACCTGGATCAGCATGGCAGGATTTGGAATCTTATAGGGAGCCTAATCTCCTCCCTTTCCGGTTGGCCCATGGGTCCCCGGAAAACAAAAAAAATTAATGCAAGTCAACGGGGCTAAAAACGCTCTTTTCTAATCCACTTTGCCTCATGCCCTGGATCGCACATATGTTGTACTGCAATTTAAATGAAAACTAATGATGGGTGTTTCGACCACGTCAGTACTGTACATTGAGATTTATCAGCTTGTAAAAGTTTGTAATTAGACTACATCGGCATGTTGCATATGTAACGTCACCACATAATCTCCTCTCCCCTAGCATAATACTTACCAAATGACCAGATTCATGGTGGTTCTTTCCTCCTGAGGGAAGGATTTTGAAACCTGGTGCTGATGTCTCTGTGATCACAAATTACAGGCCTATCTCTACCCTGCCTTTTACATCAAAACTGCTTGAGAAAGTCGTTTATCAGCAGCTGGTCTCACATTTAGCTGACTCTGATCTGTTTGAGGTTTTCCAATCAGAGTTCAGGTCTGGCCATAGCACAGAGTCAGCTCTACTGAGGGTCCTAAATGATATCTATCTATCGCTAGATCAGGGTACATCTGTGGTGCTTCTGTTGTTAGACCTGACAGCAGCCTTCGACACAGTTGACCACGCGATTCTACTCGATCGCTTGGAACGATGGGTTGGGATCAAAGGGTCTACTCTGGACTGGTTTAGATCGTATCTCCACAACAGGACATTCTGCGCTAAACTGGGTGATGTTTTTTCATCTTGGGAGGGGCTCCGCTGGGGGGTCCCGCAGGGATCGATTCTTGGTCCTCTTTTGTTTGCCATTCATCTGCTACCTCTGGGGTCAATCTTTCGTAAACATGGCCTATCATTCCATCTCTATGCTGACGATTGCCAGATTTACTCTCCATTGTGTCAGGAGAAAGGTCACTCTATCCAGTCCTTTGTGTCCTGTCTTAACGTCTTGGCTAATGGCCAACGTTCTACATCTGAATGAGGGAAAGACAGAGCTCATTGTTTTTCACCCCAACAGCAGGAATGTGGATTGTTATGTTGATCTTGGCCCTCTTTCTTCCTACTCAAAACCAGTTGTAACCAGTTTGGGGGTGAAACTTGATGCTGGACTTAAATTTGATGCTCACATCAATTCTGTGATCTGGTCCAGTTTCTTTCACCTGAGACGCCTTGCAAAAATCAGGCATTTGCTGTCGAGAGCCCACCTGGAGCGGGTACTGCATGCTTTTGTGGAAACGGGACCACATCAGTCCAGTTCTGGCCTCCCTGCACTGGCTTACGGCTTGCTATCGCTCACAATTCAAAATCCTCGTCTTTGTTTTTAATTTCTTCCAGGGTGGTGGTCCCCCCTATCTGGCCACACTCCTGAACAGACATTCCCCATCACGCGCTCCTCTGACCAAGGCCTGCTCGCTGTCCCTCGGTCTAGGTGTCGTACTCGCGGGGACCGGGCTTTCTCAGTCCTAGCACCAACACTCTGGAACCAGTTGCCACCCTCAGTTAGGCTGTCCCCATCTCTGCCAGTCTTCAAGATTCGCCTAAAAACCCACCTCTTCCACTTGGCGTTTCCTGAACATGTTTGATTTTGTCCCTCTTTTATGTTGAATTTATCACACAGTTTTCACTGGTTTACTCTATCCATTGTTTTACACATTTGTCCTGTACCAGAATGTTTCACCTATTTTGTCATTTGTATTTTGTGATTTGAATTGCTTTATTTTTGATTTATTCAATATATTTACCTTCAACTGAACCATGTTCAGCGTTTTGGGCTTCCTGACAGGGTTGCGGAAGGCGCTTTATAAATAAAGCTTTGATTGATTGATTGAAGTTTGCTGCATTTACAGCCATTTTCCCTCTGTTTTTCTCCGTGTCTGGTTTGATGTTACTTTCGTGAAGCGCAGTAGTTCTGGACTTATTTTCACACAAAACCTAAAATAGCGTTTCCCCCTCATTCGAAAGGGCTTTCTTGGTATCAAAAAACTTCTTTAAAATTCACGGACATCATGTGAAATCCATGGAACATAACAAGCGGAATTAGAAAATAGTGTTTTTAGCCCCATTGACTTGCATTCATTTTTTATTCGTCCGGGGACCCATGGTGCGGAAGTCGATGGGCGTGACTTAGGCTCCCTATATCCTGATATTTGAACATCTTGCCTCGGATCAGATAACAGCTATGCAAATCTAACACTGACTTGTAACGTGGCTGTTTTATCTCCACAAATAACACAAGCCTGGAGTTCTTCTGTGTGGTGGAATTGCTAATGCTAGTTAGCTTCCACTAGTCAGGAAGTTGTCTGCTGATTCCTGGATGCTAAAACAACAACAGCCATCCCCGTCGTGAGTCAAGACGGATGAGTCCATGAATGTTAAGTGACAGTGTGATGTAGATCTGTGAGACTTTTCGATCCTTGAGTTCACCGTCTGTTTTCTATCAGAAGGTAATGCAGGAGACAGGTGTAGGAGACTATTTTCATGTTCAGTCTGCATGACAAACTCAGTGACCGATTATAATCATAACCATTAGAAAACAGCTTTTCAGAGTTGCACACGTTTAAATGTCTTGAAGATAGAAAAATACGTTTTCAAGTGAGACAAAGTATGGGAAGTGTTCAGCCCTGCAAAGCAGGCACCCTTACTAGAGCTGCAGTCATCTTCTAGTTGCACATGATGGCGGGTTGCTGACACCTTCCACCCACAAACTAACAGCTTTATCACTCCCAAAAATCTAACTTCCTGTAAGTATTTAAATAAAAATGTGGCTCATGTTGGTCTAAAGCCTTTAAACCTGCAGAACCCTGGGCTGCATCTCACGCTCCCAGGAATATTGTGAACACATGAAAATAATGCTGCAGTTCTGACCTCTTGACATGAGATGGCTTTTATGTGCATCAAAAACAGGAGATGGCCTGCTTCAGTCATTTTGAAAGTCTAGAAGTCACTTGTCTAAGGTAGACTGGTTTGTAAGATACAATTAGAGGGCATGTTACATAGGCGGATTGGTGCTGCACCTGAGGTCATGCAGACGTTGTACCGGTCTGTCGTGGTGAAGAGAGAACTGAGCCAGAAGGCGAAGCTCTCGATTTACCGGTCAATCTATGTTCCTACCCTCACCTATGGTAAGGAGCTTTTGGGTAGCGACCAAAAGAACGAGATCGCAGATACACGCGGATGAAATGAGTTTTCTCTACAGGGTGGCTGGGCTCTCCTTTGGAGATAGGGTGAGAAGCTTGGTCACCCGGGAGGGGCTCAGAGTAGATACGCTGCTCCTCCACATAGAGGAGCCAGCTGAGGTGGCTCAGGCATCTGGTTAGGATGCCCCCTGAACGCCTTCCTGGTGAGATTTTCTGTGCACGTCCAACTGGGATGAGACCCAAAGGAAAACCCGGGACACGCTGGTGGGACTGTCTCTTTGTTGGCCAGGGAATGGCTTGAGATTTCCCGGAGGTGCTGGCCCGAGTGGCTGGTGAGAGGGAAGTCTGGGCCTCCCTGCTTTTTACGCTGCTGCCCCCTGGGCTCCAGATAAGCAAACAAAAACGGATTACTCTTATACAGGTAAAACTTAAAAAATAACAATGTGGAGCAAAGGTCAATATCATAACAAAGGCTTAAAATATCTGGCTTTGCATGTAGTCTCTCATATTAGTTTGACCTTTTCAGTTGAATTCCTAACAAAACAAGAACTTTATAATCATATTCAAATTTTTGAGATGGTTTACTGAAGACTTGCTTGCAAAGACACATATTTTAAATGTTTAACACTAAAGCCTGAGTCATGCTTCTGCGTCAGCCCCACACAGATTGACGGAAGCGTTTTGCGGTCATACTTCCCCGTTTGCTGAAGGGGTGTTGCAAAGCAATTCTCCGCCAGGACAACAGAGACAACGCTGTACAGCGACGTCTTACGATTTCCTTCTAAATCACTTCCGCAGTCTGAAAAATGGCAAGCAACATGAGAAAGAGAAGTTTGATAGAGTTGGGACGGTGTGATCTAGACGAAGACATGCTTATCTAGCTGAAATACCAGCAAGAGAAAAAAAGGAGACACCATACGACTTCGGCACTGCTGACAAATTTAAAGGAAATGGCGTCATGACGGAAGTGAGCTCAGGTTTCTGGACCGACCAATCACAAGCACACGTTCTCCGTCTCGTTCGACGGATGTTAAGAAAAGTGGTCTACGTCTCTCCGCACTGACGCAGAAGCACGACTCAGGCTTAATACCTGCCGATTATTCCAGTTATCCTACAGCTGAGGTATTACGTCATTGAAAGTGATCAGAGTGAAACTTTCTGAAGAGCCCAAGTAACAAATAACAAATGTATCTTCTGCAGACAGTATTAAAGAAAAAAATCACTAGTGCACTGTCCCATTTTCACTTTTTATTTTTCCCAAACAAAACACTCAACATCAACAATTTCTCATACACACAAAACTCCTCTTTCCACAATTCATCCAAACTCTGTAAACAATCCACTGCAGGAGTCTTATTTTTACAGGTCTTACCAAAAATGAGTATGAGTTCTCTTAAGAACATCTTAGGAAATTGTGGCAAATGTACATTTTGTACAATAGTGTTCATGAAAATATAATTCTGCTCAGTAAACCAAAGCCAAACGGCATTTAGTCATATTCGTACAACTTATGGATTAATTGTGAAAAGGTCCCATTTACTTTGAGAACCACATGTACAAAAGGACAAGCTGAACCAGAAGTTTTGCCTGTATCATTAGTGACTTTATTTTTATAAAAGTTCTTGTGATGAGTAACGTATAAAAAAGTTGGCAGCATTTAGGGAGTGCAGTCTTCCTTAGGACCGTGGAAGAACCTGGGCGATGGTGTTCCGAGCGCTCTCACTGAGACGTTCTGGGAATTTCACCTCATACACTATGATCAGGTCGCCACGGCGGTTGGGTCTTTTGGGATAAGGCAGCCCCTCCCCGCTGATCCGTCGCTTCATTCCTGGTTGCACGACATCAGTTGTGGACACAGGCAACAATCTGCCATCTAATGTGGGTGCTTGTATTGTACAACCACATAAGGCCTAATGGGAGAAACAAATAGAAATTTGATTTAATGACATTTAAATGAAATGCAAAAATAAATCTGCTCTATTTCGTTAAATGTAACCTAGACTTACATCTCTAAGAGAGATCTTGGCAGTGTAGATGATATCTGAGCCGTCCCTTTTGAATACTGGATGTGGCTTGTCCTTCAACACAAACACGATGTCTGCTGGAATGTTTCTTGGAGTTTCATCACCCTCTCTGGGAAATGTGATTTTGGTGCCCTCCTTCCACCCTTTCTTTATTTGCACTTCAAGAATTTTCTCCTCTGGCCGCGTCGTCCGTCCATCAGAGTTCAACCTTTTGCGAGATATTTTCATTTTCTTTGTGCATCCCATCAGCACCTCGTCCAGCGCCACTCTGAGATCATGAACCACTGGTGGGTCTTGATGTTTCTTCACAACACTTGTGGGACCACCCATTCCTCCCATACCCGGGTTGAAGGAACGTGAGAAGCCACCCATTCCACCGCCGCCAGTGCCACCCATCCCAAATCGAGAGAACGGGTCGTCAGTGTCCATGTTCTCCACGCCTCCGTTGCGAGCACCAAAAAACTCCTCAAAAGGGTTGCGTCCACCAAAAAACTCACTAAAGATGACATGGGGGTCACCCTGGAAGGTGTAGCTGAAGTTTCCAGGACCACTACTGCTACCTGTGGATCCTCCTCCTCCTTTCAAACCTAAAAAAGGGGGAAATTAAGCTATTTAATAATTTAATTAATGCAACAGTTCACATGCATGTTCTCATTTTAACCACATACATAATATCACAGCCTTGTATGTGTTTGAAGCCAGTTTCGTAAGGGTTTTTGATCTTACTGGAAGCATTCAGGTTTTTGTAACCATCAAGTTAAAACAACTCTGAGTCAAATTATTTTGTCACCATGGTTACATTAGACACTTGGAAATACCTTTTCTACCTTTTTTAATCCTCTCACGTACTATTAAAAGCACCATATTTCAATAACTACACTAATAAGTTTAAAGAGCAAGTCACCCCCTACTAGAGTATTACTCCACTCCCACTTCCTGTTTGAGAAATGCAACAAATGATGCTGCCTAGCAGACCGAGAGGGCGGAGCCGCTGACTAATACACACGCAGGCTCACAATGACATTGTGACATCATATCGTACCAGCTAAGTTCTAACCTCTTACCCAATAGCAATGGCAGATTTAAATTCAACAGCAGTGCAGAGTTTTTACTGACAACTGCACAATACTGTTTGGGCCAGAACATTAAATTTTTAACTAAAATGCACTAGAGTGCTAAACTATCGACTATGCGTGTCTGTAGCACGATTGGACACGCATTTACATGGTTAATCAGAAAGAAAAAATTGATTTGGGGGTGTGACTTGCATTTTAAATATTTGAGAAGGAGTCACCGCTCATCTAGGAAAAGGTGCTGGAAAAAGGATGTATCAATCAATCAATCAAGCTCAAAAGTTTTAGCAATGCCCGGAGAAAATATGCAAACTTTGAAGATATTCAATTAATAATCTGCAATGTTGGAGTTTATTGGTGAAGCTTTCGGACACAATTCCTGATGAAGGTCTCTGACCGAAAGCTTGACCAATAAACTCCTACATCGCAGATTGGTGTACGGATCCTCTTTTTGTTTATTCTAAATAAAATCCTTTAAAATAATGTAAACTTGTTCAGTCCTTGGAGGTTAGAACACTGCTTAAAGATTTATGCTGCAAAATGAACATCCATCAGTGGCCTCATTTCAACCCGAAAGCTAATTCCCCCCCCCCCCCCCCCCCCCCCCAAAAAAAAAAGACTTACTAAACTCATTGGGTCACTTACTTTTAGCCTTTACTTGTAATTTATTGTAAGAGGGACGTTTAGTTTGCCTGCCTTAGTTTTTTCTATACTTTTTAAGGAATTTAGTTGGTTTTGTTGGCCTTTAACTGTTGAAGGACGGCCGCCATGACACTGAAGTTGTCTGTTTTGTCCCCTGCCTTCGCTTTCTCGCTTTCGCGTAAAGATCAAAACATTTGACCTCCCCATAAATAACTTCACTACATAAAATATGAAAAGCTTACCTTCTTCGCCAAATCGATCGTATACATCCTTTTTCTTTGGGTCGCTCAAGACATCGTAAGCCTCTGCGATTTCTTTAAATTTGTCCTCGGCTCCTGGTGACTTGTTTTTGTCGGGATGGTATTTTAGAGCCTGTTTTCGATAAGCCTTTTTGATGTCGTCCTCCGACGCTCCTTTCTTAATTCCCAGAATATCGTAGTAGTCCTTCCCCATTTTGACCGTCCAGCGGCCTGTGAAGCATAAACGTTAAAGATATTTAAAGGCTTGCGCCGAAATTCTATTTCTCTAATTCCAGTCGATGTCCTTCTCTTCTCAGCCCAGCACGCGCGCCGACGTTTTGGTTATAAACAGCGTGGAAAGTTCCAGACGTTTCCATTCTGAGCCTGAACAATCCTGACGATGACGTCGCATCTAAACCACGCCCTGTAGGATTTGCGTGCTAAGTTCAAAACTATGGGTTTGTTTTCGTGCTCTTTACGATGATTCACTCGACTAATAATCTATTTCTCTTAAATAACAAGCAGAAGAAATGCGTTTTGTAAATTTAAATCACATTGAATCAACCTATATAACTGATTGTACTGCAGTACGCACGACACTATAGCAACAAAATGTGCTGCAAGATATAAAAGATCCTTGCGAGCTCTGAATGTAGCAGGATCTCAATCAAGCTCAAAAGTTTTAGCAATGCCCGGAGAAAATATGCAAACTTTGATGCTGCTTAACTTTGAAGATATTCAATTAATTGCTCAGGGACATTTATGTTGAATGTGGCAGTGAAAATATATATATATATATATATATATATATATATATATATATATATATACATATATATATATATATACAAAGTCTTACGGCTTGGAAAATGAACATGAACTGTTTTCCACTTGAGATATTAAATACAAATATAACTCATAAGAAAGAACAACTTTATTTTTTATAAAAACATGAAACATTCAAAATATATCAAACGTTTCTGGAGTTGTCAAACTGGAGTTTGCCTGTTTATTTTATTCAGTGGTTAGACTGATGAAGTCAGCTTTGCTAAAGAAAATAATGCAAACGTGTAAAAAAAATCTTTTAGCCGTTTTAATAAATCCAATTATCGCAGGATAACCTACGACAACCTTTTTCCATTTGCCTAAATGTCATTGGCCACAGTACTGATACTGTGGGCGTATTCGCCTGATTTATCTTCATTTTTATTGGCTATAGTAGGCACATTGTCCCCGCCTTTTTATCTTCAGAGTGGCAGGTTAACCCGCTGATTGGACAACGTCCCCTCACTCATAGTGGACATCTAGGAAGAGGTGCTATCTGGCAAGATGAAGCATTACGAGGTAAGAAGTGTCCATACATCTCTCAAAACATCTTTTGCCATTAAATGTAATTCGCCAGACTAGTTTTCACATTTCGTGTGGCTGTTTGTGTGTTAGCTTCGCCAGTTAATTTCACAATTGTTAACGTTAGCCGTAAAAAACGTAAGCTATCATGGACTGGTTGCTATCAATGTGGCCAGGTTACCTTGCTCTGTTTGGTTAAATTCTGGAGCTACACGGTACCAAAAACCTCTGCTGCAGACGTAGATCTATATCTGCATCTTACATTGGGTAAATTCTCAGTTTAAAGGAGCGTGTTTAGCTGAAAACAATCACTCCTGTGCAGGACTACCCTCGACATCACCGCCATCAATGGCTGAAGTGATTCATGGCGATTCTTATCTTGTTCTTACTCAATATTGCAGGTGAACAGTCAAGTGTGCTGTCTGACCTCTTTTTACATAAATACATTTGGACTATAGGCTTTCTGTTTAATTTTATAAAATGGATTAAATGTTAAGGGGAACCTTTAACTATCTGTAACATAAGACGTCCCCTAATTTAATCGTCTGATTGAAAACTACCATGTTTTTACTGTCTCTATATGCTCGACATTTAACATTTTTAACGGTTATAAACACCTGAAACCAATCAGACAGGCTTTGAGGTAGTCTGACAGGTACTGACACAATCAGTGGTTGCTCTGGTCTCTCTTCTTTTTGTTGACAGATGTGTCTCTCAACCTGTGAGTGGAAGAGCAACATTAAAAAGTGGAATGGTCATTTATATTTAAACAGAACACCAATATCCATACAGACAGGACATATATATGAGTTTCAATTCATACAATACAGTGGTTTAAACCATTTCCATATCTACTTAGTTCCATTAAGGAATGCTGACATAACCTTGTAAAGCAACACGGAGTTTATCATGGCAGATGACAGCCATCAGAACATTTACCCACGTAGTTATCTTTTAAAGTCTGATAGTTTTTACTCTGATGAACTTTGACATGTTTAGGATGGACAGTATATAAAAAAATGAATCTCTAATAGTTTTAAATCTTTGTATTTTTTGTCACATTTTCAAACATTCCTACAGGAAATGTTTGAACACATCAGGAGAACTTCCCAAAAGAACAAACCTGTCTATTACAGTTTTGAAATATAGAAGGTGAGCAAAGAGAGCAAATGCTGAAATGATAAATAACCAAATTTCAAGGAGACTCATGAGTCAATCTTGCCTTCATTTTCCTCTTCAAAGGACTGATTTCACCATTAAAGCTTGCCCTATTCTTAAAGGGAAATATCAGACATTTTGATATGTTTTGGTGTAAAAGTCATAATTATTTAAAATCACACATCATGTAGATATCTTTTTGAATGACCTTTGCTTGGAGACATTTTTCTCTGCAAGAACTACAGAGCTAGTCTGAGCACAGCCAAGAGCAGAAGTGAACAATGTGAGTTCATAATAGGACTGCCACAGACGACTATTTTAGTAGTCAACTAATCACCAGTTTTGTTGACGATTAGTCGACTAATCTTGTCATGCATAAAAGTATAGCTTATTACACCAGGCTGCTCAAATATACCCATCATATTAGCTTCTAGTTAGAAGTGTGATCAGCTGTGTGCCATCTAATAATAAAAACAAGATGATAGCTTATCAAACTACTTTTAATTAACTTTGTCACCTGTTATACAAATGCTACAGTCAAATGGAGATAGGCACCTAAAACAAAAAATAAATTGTACACGAAAATTACTTGTGCTCACAAATGTATTCAGCTAAAATAGTCTTATTTTTTCCTACACAAGGTTCTTGTTCACGGTCAAGAAAGTTAGCATTGTCTTAAAACGGCATTAATTTCCTTAATTTCACATCAGTTCCTGCAAAAACTATTAGAAACCTTTACGTCTTTGTCAGGTTTGCATTACGTCATTATTTAAGCTGAAAAGTTAAAAAAATACCGGCTTGATTTGAACCCCGGGTGCTCCTGAAGAGCTCTTTTTGTTGCTACAAATAATTTATTTCTTTAGGCGTGTAAATAATCATAGAGCTCAATGTAAATGATACAAAATGGTCTGTTTTGTAAAACAATGTCAGGCTCCTGTTGGACATAAACCATCTTTCTCTGAAAATAGGTCATTTACTATTTATAACTGAGATTTCATTTATTTCTAAATTCTACAAAGAAATAACATTTCAAAATGGCCAAACTATCTCTTGAATTGTGACTTAACGTCTAAAAGAAACTCTAAATTAAAAAATAATCCAACGTTAAACCCATCTTTTTATACACGAATAAACCAAAATCAAATGGATGCAATTTCCTTTTTGGGTCACTTTACTGGTGAAACCATTATAATCGAATTATCCTAGATAGCACCTGAGAGCTTGAACTTCCCAGTAATTTACTTTTGCAAATAGCATGATTTCTGTATTTCCTATGAGAAATCTAAAAAAATGAATAAATAGCAGAACAACTTGCCTTGAAGCCAGACGTTCTCACCAAGCCAACAAAGCTGTAAATCTACTCGACGTACATTTACAGTTTGTAGCAGCACCTAAAGCCTACGCTTCCCTGCTTTACTGTCGGTCTGGAGTGTATACCACCACTTTCAACTGTCGTTGCCAAAGGTTTAATTTAGACAAGATGGGGGAGGTACCGTGGAGTTGGCCACGCTTGGCACAAACTGGAGTGGGGTCATGATTTCCCCAGAGTCTGCTGCAGTGTCAAATGTCCCACTTGTTTCATCGGTGGCTATTTATTTTGTATACAGAACAGATCAATAAAACTTTTCTTTTAAATTTAACTTGAACTTATTTGGTGTTTGAATGGAACTAAACTGGAAGTGTTTGATCCGGTGTTAGTGGGTTTTTATTGTATCTGCTAGTTATTTTCATGCCTGTGATACATTCAGTTTAAATGAACTAATGATGTTTAAAGGTGGAGTGGGTGTTTCTGGCAAAAGCAAAAACACAATTCAAAGGTTCAAACCCCTTTCTTTAGTCCAATGCTGGTCAGGAGTTTCTCTTGTTCAACCAAAAATTGTGTAACACTTGTTCTTCTAGAAATGTGATTGGTCAATCTGAACTGCACATGCATGCTGAACATCTATCACCCGCATGGGAAAAAAGCTCTGGCGCTCTTGTTTCTGGTGGTAGAGGTTTGTTGGAATGTGTGTGTGTGTGTGTGTGTGTGTGTGTGTGTGGGGGGGGGGGGGTTGAACCTTTGTGATATGCAAATGTCATTTTGGGTTGAGTTTTGGGCCACAGTGGCACAGGAGTTTAGTGCTCACCCCGTAATCGATAGATTGCAGGTTCGAGCCTCGCTCAGTCTGTCGCTGTCCTTGGGCAAGACACTTTCTTTCTTTCTTTATTGAACATGCATGCAAATCAATAGACAACCCAAAGCATTCAAAAAGTATCCAAAAAGAAACCCACACATATGTATATGCATATATATATAATATACACACACACATACACATATATATATATATATATATATATATATATATACATACATACATACATATGCACACATATACATACACACATGTAGAACATGTTCAATGGGAAGGGAACGAAGCTCTGGTAGCTTATATAATCCCCCCCAAATCAAATTTCAAGAAAGATAAATTAACCCCCCTTACCTGCTGGTGGTAGTCAGAGGGGCTGGTGGCGCCAGTGCTCGGCAGCTCGTCTCTGTCAGTGCGCCCCAGGGCAGCTGTAGCTACATCGTACCTCATTCCGACCATGGGTGAATGAATGTTTGTGTTGTAAAGTGCCTTGGGGGGTTACAGGACTCTAGAAGGTGCTATATCAAATACAGGCCATTTACCATTTAACAAAAAAGGAATGTTGATATTTTATCTCCACAAATAACACAAGCCAGAATGTGTTCTCTCATGTCATGGATTTGCTAATGCTCACGGGGTTAGCTTCTATACTAGCCTACTACCCATGGAGGTCTGGATTTGGATTCACACTTAAACCTAAAGTGGGAAAACACACTACAGGCTCAGTAGTGTGTGTGGCCTCCACATGTCTGTATGACCTCTCTAACACCTGGGCATGCTCCTGATGAGGTGGCAAATAGTCTACCAAGGGATCTCTTCCAACTCCAGGACAGTCTGTAGTGCAACTTGGCATGGGTGGGTGGAGCAAGACATGATGTCACAGATGTGCTCAATTGGATTCAGGTCTGGGAAACAAGCAGGCCAGTCCATAGAATCAATGCCTTTGTCTTGCAGGAACTGCTGACACACTCCAGCCACATGAGGTCTAGCATTATCTTGGGAGGAACCCAGGGCCAACCGCACCAGCATATGATCTCTCAGAGGGGCTGAGAATCACATCTCAGTACCTAATGGCAGTCAGGCTACCTCTGATGAGAACATGGGGGGGCTGTGCGGCCCCCCAAAGAAATGCCACCCTACACCATTACTGACCCACTGCCAAGCCAGTCATGCTGGATGTTGCAGGCAGCAGAACGTTTTCCATGGTGTCTCCAGACACTTGTCACATCTGTCACACGTGCTTAGTGTGAACCTGCTTTCATCTGTGAAGAGCACAGGGCACCAGCGGTGAATTTGGTGTTCTCTGGCTAATGCCTCCATGCTCTGGTGGACACCACACTGACAGACACAGCAAACCTTCTGGCCACAGCTCGTACTGATGTGCCATCCTGGATTAGCTGCACTACCTGAGCCACTTGGGGGGTGGGGGTAGACTGCGTCTCATGCTACCTCTAGAGGGAAAGCATGGCCAGTATTCAAAAGTGTCTAAAACATCAGCTAATCATAGGATCTGAGAAGTAGTCTTTGGTCACCACCTGCAGAACTACTCCTTTATTGGGGAAGTCCTGCTAATTGCCTGTAATTTCCACCTGTTGTCTATTTGACTTGCACAACAGCATGTGAGGTCAATCAGTGTTGCTTTTTATGTGGACAGTTGGATTTCACAGAAGTGTGACTGACTTGGAGTTGCTGTGTTGTTTCAGTGTTGCCTTTATTTTTATGGGAAGTGTATTTCAAAAGTATTAGATGGTTTCTCATTAAACAAGACCTTTAACAGCTGTTCTTGAATGACCGTTGGTTGGAACAATTAAAATGGATGCCTCATACAAACTTGTTGGATTAAGATAGATTCATACATTAATACCTAAAGCAGCTCCTTTCTATAAAAGAAATAACTTATGAACCAAATAGATGACCTTAACTTCCCTTTTACCACTTTAATTATGTCCCTTTCAGTCCATCTGGACACTGTACACCAACTCTATGACTTAAGAGGGTGGAGAGGGATTCTCTGTTGGGATTGCCCTTTCTAATCCCTGAGAATCTGAAGTGTTATTGCTTCTTGTTGGCAGGAAAATGTGATCCTGAATGTTATTGTGAATTTTAGCAGTTTAGTTTTGCAGTTCAACACTGTAAAACAGTGACAAACACCCTAAATGGGTCCTTTCTGGTGTGCTTAACTGTGGACCGATTGAATGTCAACAAGCTGTGACCAACAGCAAACCCATGACATCACCGCATAGATCTGTGTGGGGTCTGCTGGGAGAGGGCTGGATATGCAGGGATAGCATGAGATGTTTATATTTAGCTTTGGAGACGAAGATGGGGTCAAACTAGTAACGGGGAGTGTTGTTTGTCATAATATCTCTCCTCATCCTTGCACCTAGTGTCAGGGGTCGTCAGGTGTCCGTTTTTAGGCAAGTTACGTTTCAAAGTCCATTCATTACATCTGAGTAGAATTTGCATCCTTTTGCATTAGATGTTTATTTCATGAAATATTCCTGCAAAGGACATTCTGCCTTTGGGGATGCTTGGTATTCCTGGATGAACGCATGTGGTGGATGTCTGAGCGGCTGGTTGGAAGTTAAATAAAGTGGCGCTCCAGAAGTGAAGGAATGAGCGATGGGCAGAGAGGGAGGGAGGGAGAGTTGAATGAAAAGGGTGGGGCAGAGGAGAGAGACAGATTTATTTCCACAGCTGAGTGTTGCCCCTGTCCTGTCCATCTTTGCGTGGATTTGGATTGAGGGTGGAGGTGGGGAGTCACTGGAGAAGACGAAGAATAAACAAAGAGCAGGAGGAGAACTGGGGACATGGATGCCTTAGCACTAGAAGCCACTGGTAGTAAAAGGGCAAGCACTGCGGGGTTGACTGCCCCACTGCCAAGTCAAGCTTCGACGAAACGTAAACCTGCCAAAAAAGCTAAAAAAGCTGTTGTCTTTTTTGAGGTGGAGATACTGGACGCCAAGACCAAGGACAAGCTCTGCTTCCTGGACAAGGTGAGAACTCCCTCTACGCTTGTATTCTGCTTTAGTGTGCAGTTTAATACTTGAGCAACTGGCTCTTTCTTAACCAACCATGTTTTTTATTGCCTCTGAACATCCCTGTCCCTTTGTGTTTGTTTCCCAAATCCAGCACGGATGGTCACTGAGGGCTAACGTTGCAGATTGCATGTTTGCATGTGAATGAGGTGCTATGTAGAACATCGTAGAGCTGCTGGAGCCGTTGTTTTGCTGTCTTGTTACGTCGGGTTTGAGCGTAAAAGGGACACGTTGGACGGCTGCTCATACATGTGACTCTAGACTGCTGGGTTCAGTTATCTTAATGACGTTCAGAAGGACACAGCAAATCTAGAAACATCAGCAGTTTTGTGATTTCAGCTTTACTTTTGGACAAATTAATGTTGGATTTGTTTATGCAGTGAATTGTGTTTGCATGCAGTGCTTTGAATATTTATTATATTGCCAAGAATATTGAATAATGCACGACTGAGTCCGACACACTACAGCAGACTCTTATGGTTTAGCCAGCAATAACCTCTTGAAGGTATTATTCAGTCGTTTGTTGATAGACTATTGATTGACCTCAGTTTGGAGAAATGGTTTGCATCCCGTAGGACTGATGCTAACGGCTAGTTCGAGCGTAGCCAAGAACAAAGAACGATACTGTCATCTTAAAACGTTTCCAAGGCGTTTGAAGCGTTCATACTATCTGTTCAACCCTTTGCAGCATTAATTCTATGAATGCAACCTTTAACTGGTGAGATTCTATTATATTTAACTTTTACATAGAAATGCAACTCAAAGGTCAAAATGTCTCCGTTAAAGTCTAAAATAAACTTAATCAGCTGGGTGGAAGTGTGTTTGTGTTTTTTCCCAGTAAGTCTCTCCTCTCATCTTTAGTTCATGGTTAATCTTGCATCTTGAATATTTAACTGTTAATAAATACTTTAAAGCAAAAACACAAAATGTTATTGAATTTTCTTTAAACCTGTACGTAAAAGTAAAATCTTTAAATAAGAACTCCAGTGTTTATGGAGGGACTTTTTACCTGAACTGACTCTCTGCAGGTCGTGGCGTGTTTAGTCAGATACAGTAAACCAACCAATCAGACGAGATTAGCCTACAGCTGATCCAGCCTTCTGGCAGTCCTTTTGAGCATGATCACTCTGTGGACGTTACCTAACAAATTCTACATTTTTAGTTTTCAGTTAGGTGGAGGTTGAACGAGTAGAAACTTTATCCTGAGAAGTTTTTACGTCTCGACTTTCTGATTTTTGGCAGAGAGACTTATTTTATTGTGAACAAAATCCAAAGTTGTAATCAGTTCTGTGTGCAAGGAAATGAAACACAGCAGCTGTTTTGGTGCGATGTTGGCCTACGGACTTGTGTTTGCAGTTGGGACTAGACGAGTATCACTCTTACATCAGTCATGATTGGGATGCATGCCTATTGTTTAATCAGCGGTATTTACAGTTCTTAGCGTTTGGCTCAGGCCTTGTTATTGATGCTTCAGACCTAATCGTTTGTGTTTACCTGTGTTGCATTTAGGAGGGTTTAGTGGTGCGAGGCCTTTTGTGTATTGAGTTGCATTAGTCACGTTCTCCGTGCTGTCAGCCAGAGTAAACTCTGCTCCTCAGGACCGGAGTCCAAGGTGCCATCCCGACTGGATGATATCATGTTGTCGGCTTAGCAGAGTTTCCATGGTGATAATGTCTTATCACCTCTGCAGAAGCCGCTTCATAGATATGACAGACAATGATTTGGACCTAGACAGGGTGTCCTTTGGGGAGCTTGTTTCCTAAATTAGACTAATGGAACCAAACTGAGAGGCTGATTTTAGAAATAAACATCTTGTCCCACATCGTGCCTGGGTCAGTGTTTATGGATCAGAATTGAGCCCCATTCCCACCTGTACCGGGTCGGCCCGGGCCGGGTAGCCCCAGTCGGCCCCAGCCTGGCCCGGTTGATTCCACACATCCTTGCCTTAAGCCCATGTGGGCTGATTCTACCCACCAATCAGAGGCTTGCTCTAATGGAAGGTGTGAATGGGCTGATTCTACCCACCAATCAGAGGCTTGCTCTAATGGAAGGTGTGAATGGGCTGATTCTACCCACCAATCAGAGGCTTGCTCTAATGGAAGGTGTGAATTTGCTGTCAGCAGTGGGCGTGTTGGCCCTGGTCGGCCTGAAGCAGTACCCCTCGGGAAGAGGGCCGAGAATGAGCCTTGGTTGGCCCGGGAAAATTCCAGGCCACCCAGATATGTAAACAACCTATGCTACCCAGCCCGGGCCGACCCGGTACAGGTGGGAATGGGGCTTTAGAGATCTCTTATCACTTGGATAAAGGTTCTATGAGACGAGGCTAGAATATGTTTTTGGAGGTTTTGAATTTTGTGGAGCATTGGTTCGTAAAGATCCCAGCAGTGTACTTTAACAAGGTCCTTCTTTGAGATTATTATTTTTAAAATGATCGGTCACTCTGAGTTTTTCATGCAGACTGAGCATGAAAATAGTCTTCTACACATATCTCCTGCATTAGCTTCTGACACAAAATAGACACAGAAACTCTAGGATTAGAAAAACCTGACAGATCTACGTCACACTCTCACTTAACGTTCATGTACTCACCCATCTTGACTCGTGATGGGGAAGGGTGTTGTTCGTTTTAGCGTTCAGGAAACGGCAGAGAACGTCTCGGCTAGTAGACTGTTAGCATTAGCATTAGCAACTTCACCACACAGCGGAACTCCTCCAGGCTTGTGTTATTTGTGGAGATACAGCCTCAACATTGCAAAACAAACCGAGTCAGTGGTAGAATCATGTTATCCAATCAGAGGCGAGATGCTTAAAAATCAGGAAATAAGACTCCAAATCCTGTTGTCTGACGCTACTTCCTACTCTGGCTGAATTCTCCATGCTGAAACAGGCGCCGTTTCTCCAGAGCATGACTTACAAAGGCGTCCATTAACTAAATATGAGTGAAGGACCTCTTTAAATCATTAGTATAAGTCATCACAAGTTTAAAGGATTTCCTGCATTCTGCATCAGCTTTATCTCTGTTTAGTGATGCTCCTGTTTCAGTTTTGTTGTTAAAACAACGGGCAGTCTGGCCGCATGGCGAAGGGTGTGTATTTTGGTTCTGTTTATGTGTGTGTCTGGGTTCTTCGAGACCCTGGCACCGGCTGTTAAATAGCCCACATCCATAGGGGTGTTTGAGCAGAGCCAGAGCTAAATTTACCTCTAATCTCCTTCATGAATGGAAACAGGACCGTTATAGCTGTTGCTTTGTGTGTGTGAGTCACTGTCCTTCCACTTTATTTACCGGGCTGTTATTTGTAGGTCGAGCCAAATGCCACCATTGGGGAGATCAAATCCATGTTCCACAAGAGTCGTGAGTGTTGCCCATTTCATATCTTCTTAAAATAAACTGGATCTTCAGGTGTACTTATGTTCTGTCTGACCGTGTTCATGTCTGGTTTTAGATCCTCAGTGGTATCCAGCCAGACAGTCCATCCGTCTGGACCCAAGTAAGTCGGCCTTAATTTGATAGTTTACCATTTCATTAGGTGAAGCTGGTGCTGCCTTTTTATTACCGTGTACTCATAAAACTTATGAATTTGGCACCTTATCAATTTCAGAGGGGAAGTCTCTGAAGGATGAAGATGTTCTGCAGCACCTTCCCGTGGGAACCACGGCAACCTTCTACTTCAGGGATCTGGGAGCTCAGATCAGCTGGGTCACAGTGAGTATGAAGCACAGACACAGGGAAACGTGTTGTTCCAACACGATCAGGTCCAACAGCTCCGACGAGCTCAAAGGCATAGAGCGCTAGTGGGATCAAGCACGCCTCTATGTGGAGAGTTCCCACTGCGTAAGGGAGGTATGTTACAACAGACCTCCAGGTTACGGTTAAAAGGCCAGCAGCTAGAGGATCTGTAACATCTTGTCCATTTCTGCTGATCAAAAGGAACTACAGAAAAATCTGTTCACACAAACCTGAAACAGGAGTTTTTAATGGCTCTTTATGGACCAAAGCCAGGGTCTCTAAATGAACCATCTGCTAAAATACTGAGAAAAAGACATTTTTGCAAAAGTACCATATTGTTTTTAACCAGTGGTGTCCAATCCTGATCCCAGAAGACCACTGTCCTCCATGTTGTTTCCTGATCCAACACATTTCTTCTCTGCAGAAGCCTGTTAATCACCAGCTGATAGAACAAAGCAGCTCAAACGTGAAACATCATGACCCTGAAGGACCAGGATTGGACACCACTGCTAAATAATGCTTGTGTTTCTAAGGTTTGAACTTATCCTGGTGCTGTTTTTGTTTCAGGTTTTTCTGACAGAATATACAGGCCCTCTGGTCATCTATCTGATGTTCTACTTCAGGGTTCCCTTCATCTACGCGTCTAAATATGACTTCACCACCAGTAAACACTGGGTTGTACAGTGAGTGTCTCACTGTGGCGTTGCACAGACATGGTTCATGTGCCTGCAGCGGCATGCTGCTCCCACCTGGGGGCAGCATCAAGTCTGGCACGGCCTTATTTATGCTGATGGTTATATCCTGCTTCTAAAATTACAGAAGCCCCATTTTCTTCTGTTCATTCAGCTAAAGTAACTTGTAATCAACAGATTTAACAACATTCATGCCTAATGACTTATTTAAAGCTGGTAGCAGATTGTTTTGTTTCTGATCCTGCCGAGACCTGAGAGCCATCATGGTTTATCAACTTAAAACAAACATATAATTAGATAAATGTCCCAAAAACTAAAATTTTTCATTTTTATTTATTATTAATTTGAATAATTTCCTGAACCCCTCTTGGTCTCTCGCGGCCCCCAGTGGGATCCAGACCCTCCCTTTAGACCAACAAAATGCACCTACTGCCTTAAGATGTGAAACATTTTCCTCTTTAGGATTGAATATTTTTTGATTCTCCTCATTTTACTTGATGATGGTGTTCAGTGTCAGTCTGCCTCCAAGCTGCCTGCATTGGTTCATAAAACCAGGCTGCTCAGGTTAGAAAAGAAGTTGAATACCAGTTTTGTCTCTGAAGCTTCAGATGGGAACATGATTAAAGCGGTACGGACTGGGGAGCTAAGTGTTAGTAAAATGCTAACATTAAAACTCGTCAAATGCCTCACTATTCCTCAGACTCATTTTTACACAGTTTGTTTAAAGTCTGCAAGTTTTCTGGCTTTGCAAGAAATTCAATTAAAACGTTTCTGTTTGTTAAAAGTTGTTTTTTGGGTGAAATTCAGGAAGATTTAGATGCTTTCACACAAAGTTAGGTGATTTTACTTACTAACTTACCTTCTTAGGTCTGACAGCCATGCCATGCTGATTTAGTTTTATTCCTCAAAGACAATGTGGGGCTTGTGATCACACGCATAGCATTCTGGGATGTGCGCGGACAAGTTGGAAGCTTGTTGAGTGTAAACACACCGTGAAACAAACTGTACTGTTGCAGAGAAGAATCGGATTTGGGTTAAAGAAAATGTTAAACAACATTATAAAATCCCAAAAAGGATGCAGAATATACAGGGATACATTATATAAAGACGTTATGGACCGGTATGTGGACAAAATGGGACTGTTTATTGTATTTGGAAACTCTCAGTGGTGCCCTCTACTGGCTGGTAGATAATAGACCCAGTGTCGTGCCCATCAAAATTAATATTTGTTTTTTTAATAGCTTTTAAATGAAATACTGTGCCTTCATTCTGCACACCTGTAAAATCCCCATGGAGGCGTTCTTTTAAAAAACTAAATATAGCTTTTTAATTGTTCCATATTCAACCTTTAATAACATTTTCTGTCTCTTTTCCAGTCTTGCCTGTATGTGTCACTCCTTCCACTACGTTAAGAGACTCTTGGAGACGCTGTTTGTCCATCGCTTCTCTCACGGAACGATGCCGTTGCGAAACATCTTCAAGGTGAGTTTGATGATGGATTAGGAAGTAAAACACATTCAAAAACATTTCTGTCTGGTTAAGAAAACAGTTTTTGTTGTAGAACTGTACCTACTACTGGGGCTTTGCAGCATGGATGGCCTATTACATCAACCATCCATTATACACACCTCCTAGTGAGTAAAGCATGTTTTCCGTCTCTTACACGTGTCGACGTGCTTTCATCACCTACTGATTGTCTCTTTCAGTTTATGGAGAGCAACAGATCAGACTGGCACTCATCATTTTCTTGGTAAAAATATTCCTAGTTGTTTTGTGGACTTTAAAAAACTCATGAAATGCATAAATCTGTGTATAAAACTTCAAAATTTTTTAGAGTAAGACTGCATTATTTAAATTCTCGCTTAAATTCTTTACCATCAACGTTTTTTTCCTCAGTTCTGCCAGATCGGTAACTTTTCCATCCACATCGCTCTGCGGAACCTCCGTCCTCCAGGTGAACACACCCGTTCACCCTTTTATCAGTGTCAACACAACGCTAACAGGAACATTTAACCACATGGTTTAAAATCTCCTGCATTTAGGCTCTAAAACCAGGAAGATTCCCTATCCTACCAAGAACCCCTTCACCTGGATCTTCCTTCTGGTCTCCTGCCCCAACTACACCTATGAGGTAAGCAGTGTTGACCATTCACCTTCTGAAATCTAAAATGCATAGTTTGTGACCCAGTTCTGGTTCCTTTACAAGCTGGGCTCCTGGCTCGGGTTCACGCTGATGACCCAGTGTCTGCCGGTGGCCTTCTTCACCTTGGTGGGCTTCGTCCAGATGACCGTCTGGGCTAAAGGGAAGCACCGCAGCTACCTGAAGGAGTTCCGTGACTACCCCCCTCTCCGCTCACCCATTCTCCCCTTCATCCTGTAGAGGACCTGAGGGGATGTTCCCTGCTCCAGAATCCTCACTGGAAACTTAAGACTGATAGAATTGGCGCCTGTGCCCCCCCCCACTTTCCCCCCATGCCGTTTGTGTTCAGTGAAAATGTCAAACCCTAGATTAGCTCGTTTTTTGTATTGCAGACAAACAAATGATTCTATTCTGACTGGTTAACTGATTTTGTTTCATCTTCTAAACTTAAAGTCCTGCAGTAAATTAGAGCTTCTCTTTATGACCCCATTCTAAATGTTTTAATTTAAATGTCCTTGAATCTAAAATCTGAAACTGACAGAATGGAATTTTGTTGTCTGAGGTAATTTATTAAAAAAATAAACCAAATTATTAGTGTTTTTTTTCTTGTATTTAAACAAATTAAAAACCTGAATCAGACTCAGCTCAACACCTGAGACAGAATTTATTCAGATTCTAGATGTAAATAACTTCAGGTTTATCACACTTAGGAAAGTCTGGGCCACAGAGCTCCAATGTTGTTTAATGTGAACAGTAGCAGTTATATACAAAGAAGCATGAGTAGATTTTCCATCTATGCAGCTTCTGCCTTTTCCTCGATTCGCTTCTTCCTCAGCTGGAGCCTTCTCTCCCTCTCGTACTCCTTCATACGCATCACGTAGCTGAAGAGGAAACAGGAAGTTGGCAGATCAGAATGACGTTAATGTTTAATCAGAGGTTAAATAGACTGAAGTCACCAGTGCAAGTCTCAGGTGGGGCTGGACACAAACATTGTGGTAAAATACTCTAGAATGGCGCCACCTACATTTTCCTTTAGGTTTAATTTTAAATGCACAGAAAAGTCCATCAAAATAAGTAAATAAAAACAGTTAAGTCTCTAATGAGTTGAGTTTAGATTTTACACGGTAATAAAGGGTCCATGTGGTAAAATCTGATGTACAGATCCACTGGTTTGTAGATGATACTCAGATTTCCTTAAGAGACTGCGGTCCTTTAGAGTGAAGGGGATACTCCTGAAGACCTATGACTCTGGTGGCATCAGCAATCCTGTACGGTGTGGTCTGTTGGAGCAGCAGCATCAAAGAGAGAGAGAGAAGAAGAAGCTAGACAGGTTGATAAAGAAGTCCAGCTGTCCTGGGCTATCCTCTGGACTCAGTACGAGAGGTGGGGGACAAGGGGTGCAGGCAAAACTCAGATCAACGCTGGACCATGAGTCACGCCCCCTGCAGGATGCCCTGTCTGCTCTGAAGAGCAGCTTCAGTGACAGGCTGATCAATCGTCGCTGTGTGAAGGAAAGATTCTGCAGGTCTTTCCTTCCTGCTGCTGTTAAGACTGTAATGGTCACTGCTAATATAGAACCCGTACATCTGTAACATTCCACTACAAATATCACTGACATCTGCAATGTTACCACTATTGTTATTGTGTGCAATAATTATCTTGATTACCTTAATTTTCTATTACACTCTTGTGTGATATCTTGTGTGCTACTGCTGCTGTCCTCAAGCTGTTGCAATAATGTAATTTCTCCACTGAGGGACAAATAAAGGTATTCTTATTCTAATAAGTCAAAACAAATATCTTGAGCCCCAATAGGGAGCCTAAGTCTTCTCCCTTTCCAGTCGGCTCATCTGTCCCCTTAAGATCGAAAAAATAAAAGCAAGTCAATACGGCTAAAAGAGCTATTTTCTAATCCGCTTCACCTTACGCCCTGATCACACATATGTTGTACTTCTATTTAAATGAAGCCATACCTTGAGATTTATTAGCTTGTAAAATTCGTAATTAGCACGACTACAATCAGACATATACAGGTGCTGGCCAGTAAATTAGAATATCATCAAAAGGTTGAAAATATTTCAGTAATTCCATTCAAAACGTGAAACTTGTACATTATATTCATGCAATGCACACAGACCAATGTATTTCCGATGTGTATTACATTTAAATTTGATATTTATAGGTGACAACCAATGAAAACATCAAATCTGGTATCTCAGAAAATTAGAATATTCTAAAGGCCAATGAAAAAATGTTTGTTTCTCTAATGTTGGCCAACTGAAAAGAATGAACATGAAAAGAATGTGCATGTATAGCACTCAATACTTAGTCGGGGCTCCTTTTGCCTCAATAACTGCAGTAATGCGGCGTGGCATGGACTCGATCAGTCTGTGGCACTGCTCAGGTGTTATGAGAGCCCAGGCTGCTCTGATAGTCGTCTTCAGCTCCTCTGCATTGTTGGGTCTAGCGTATTGCATCCTCCGCTTCACAATACCCCATAGATTTTCTATGGGGTTAAGGTCAGGCGAGTTTGCTGGCCAATCAAGGACAGGGATACCATGGTCCTTGAACCAGGTGCTGGTGGTTTTGGCACTGTGTGCAGGTGCCAAGTCCTGTTGAAAGGTGAAGTCTGCATCCCCATAAAGTTGGTCAGCAGCAGGAAGCATGAAGTGCTCTAAAACTTCCTGGTAGACGGCTGCATTGACCCTGGACCTCAGGAAACAGAGTGGGCCAACACCGGCAGATGACATGGCACCCCACACCATCACTGACGGTGGAAACTTTACACTGGACCTCATGCAACGTGGATTCTGTGCTTCTCCGCTCTTCCTCCAGACTCTGGGTCCTTGATTTCCAAAGGAAATGCAGAACTTGCTTTCATCAGAAAACATAACTTTGGACCACTCAGCATCAGTCCAGTCCTTTTTGTCCTTGGCCCAGGCGAGACGCTTCTTGCGCTGTTTCTTGTTCAAGAGTGGCTTGACACACGGAATGCGACACCTGAATCCCATGTCTTTCATGAGTCTCCTCGTGGTGGTTCTTGAAGCGCTGACTCCAGCTGCAGTCCACTCTTTGTGGATCTCCCCCACATTTTTGAATGGGTTTGTCGTCACAATTCTCTGCAGGGTGCGGTTATCCCTAGAGCTTGTACACTTTTTTCTACCACATTTTTTCCGTCCCTTCGCCTGTCTGTTAATGTGCTTGGACACAGAGCTCTGCGAACAGCCAGCTTCTTTAGCAATCACCTTTTGTGTCTTGCCCTCCTTGTGCAAGGTGTCAATGATTGTCTTTTGGACAGCTGTTAAGTCAGAAGTCTTCCCCATGATTGTGGTGCCTTCAAAACAAGACTGAGGGACCTTTTAAAGGCCTTTGCAGGTGTTTTGAGTAAATCAGCTGATTAGAGTGGCAGCAGGTGTCTTCTATATTCAGCCTTTTCAGAATATTCTAATTTTTTGAGATACCAAATTTGGAGTTTTCATTAGTTGTCACTTATGAATATCAAATTTAAATGTAATGAACATTGGAAATACATTGGTCTGTGTGCATTGCATGAATATAATGTACATGTTTCACGTTTTGAATGGAATTACTGAAATATTTTCAACCTTTTGATGATATTCTAATTTACTGGCCAGCACCTGTATGACGTCACATAATCTCCTCTCCCCTAGCATAGCTGCTACTTTCCAAATGAACAGATTTAAGGTTCTTTCATCCTGAAGGAAGGATTTGAAGTTCGCTGAACTTACAGCCATTGTACCTCTGCTTTTCTGACCTATGGCCCGTAAGTAGACTTAACCTTGTTATGGGACTGTCTAGCTAGCTATTCAATTAAAACAAGACAACTTACCCTGAATGAATCTAGATCACCCTGTCAGCTTTATTGGGCTTCCCATGCAATTTAATTCATTTTCTGTTAAAACCTCAAAGTAACTTTTTTAACAGCTTCTTTGAATTTGATGAACTGCTCAGATCAGGCATCCAAACAAGCTTCTTACAGTTATGACATCTAGAAAAGGCAACGCTTTTAAAGAAATTATTCATGCTTCCAAGCTTAACTCAATTTCCCCGTTTTAAGGGTCTAGATCCGTTCTCTCTTGAAACATTGGGTCTCAAAAGTATAAACGACTTATTGGGGGTTAGGGAGAATGGGGTATTCATAAGTAGTTTCAGCTCATTTAAAAACGACAGACAGCCACAATTTTTAAGCTCAACTCTCCCATATCCCAGTCAGAATTGGCAAAGTTCCTCGGATGAGAAGTGAAACATCTTCAATGAACCAAAGAAGTCCAGTTGCCTTCATTTGAACCCTTTGTATTACCATGACCTGGATGACCTCCACCAGCATAGTTCTCCCTTTGTTTTTTATAGGCTGTATAAACTGCTGCTAGTCATTTCCTAACGAACCACATAAATCTGGTGCTAGCTTCACTTCAACAGCTTCCTGTTCGATGCAGGACTGATTTGGACATTTTGCTATTTATAAGCCCCTTTAATGGTCTGACCCTGTCACATCTCCAAGATCTTCCACATCATCACATCTTATTTGGCAAAAGGCAGTCGTAAATGCGCTAGGATATTCCAAAATTAAAACGGTCTCAAATATACACTGCTCACAAGAATTAAATACTTTTTTAATGGGCCTGGCATGAAATCAATGAAATCTGTCTGATAATTTCCTGGTTGATTAAGCAGCTGAGGGCATTGTTAATCACTTTCAGCTGTATTGGTGTTCATGGACTTAACGACAGGTGCACTAAAGTGGCAACAATTACAAAACCCTCAAAACAGGACTGGTTAAACATGTAGAGGTCATTTCAAGTTTCTCCCTCTTGATCTGTTCTGGCTGGTTTTCCACCCGTGCTAGTTTTGGCTCTCTACTGGCAGTATGAGGCGATTCCTTAACCCTACAGAAGTTGCACAGGCTGTCCAACTTCTCCAGGATGGCACATTAGGGCTGGGCGATATGGCAAAAATAGAATATCACGATTTTTCCAATATTTTATCACGATTTCGATTTTATCACGATTTTTTTATCCATGAATAGCATAACTTCAATTGCGTATTAAAGAAGAGAAACATTGAATAAATAAACATTTATTCATATTAGGGATCATCAGCACAGTGCTAACACACTTATATTTTAAACTCACACCAGAGATGATAAAAGCCCTGAGAGAAACGATTACAAAAATCAGTTTTTCTCTTTTTTTTTTTTCAAGTAACTTAACATAAATTAAAATCGTAAACATATTTAAAGTGCAAACATGTCAATTGCAAACGTATTGTGCAAACATTAACTTGTTCAAAATACTATGTAGCTCCCAGTTGCTCATGTAGTGGATAGTTAAGCTCAAATACGGCTCTGATGTGCGGCTGGACCAGAGATTGCTTGTGGTAGCAAAAAACTGCGCATTCTGAATATTTTCTGCAACAAGTCTCTAAATAAAGTAAAATTTTCCAGTGCAGATTGGAGACAACCCATAGAAGCACTGATTTGATCTCATTTCAGAGAAAAATAGAACAGGTTAGATGCACCTAATAAATAAAATTACTAACAAACTCAGGAATCTTTCTTTGCTTCACTGTTCTGGTGCTGAAAATATCACTAATGCGGATCAAAGGAGATACACAGATGAATGCACCTCTTATTATTTGGAGACTACATTTACTGCACTCCTCCTTGAACCGTCACCTTATCGTGGTTGTAAGTGTCATAAAATTACTCAAATTTGGTTCCAGAAGTTAGAATATATAATATTTGTTTGTATCGTAAATCTGTGTCTTTTATTTTGGAACAAGTGGTATCTTCCTCACCGAGTTACCGCGAGAAGTGATGTGAGATGTGAGATGTGACTTGTATGTGTATGAGGAAGCACGA